GAGGCAGGCTCCAATTGCGTCCATTACAAGTCCTCATCAATACCCATCTCGAGGACTCTCTACCGTTCAGTCTACCAGATTATGTCAAACCACATCTACTCTGGTGGACCAAGAGATTGAATGTCTGCGTAGGCGTCTCTTTACTAGAGCCGGAATCGGAAACACATCTTTACGTGGATGCGTCACTAAAAGGTTGGGGAGCCCACCTTTCCGGCAGGACAGCGTCAGGCCTATGGAGCATTCAAGAGAGCTTATGTCACATAAATCTGCTAGAGATGCAAGCAGTCATAAACGCCATAGATCACTGGAGCAACCTATTACAGAACGCTCAGTGAATGATTCATACAGACAACTCCACAGTGGCGTTCTATGTGAACAAACAAGGGTCAACAAGATCACTGAATCTACTCACTCGATGTTTCAAACTGTTCGATCTAGTCGACAGTCTAAACATACGTATCAAAGCCTGCCACATTCCAGGGGCGAAGAATGTGTTAGCAGACGCTCTCTCTCGGCCACACCAACCATGGCCGACAGAATGGATGCTCCACACAGAGATATTCAATCAGATAATCATGGAAATAGGATCTCCTCTGATAGATCTATTTGCCACCCGATTCAACAATCAACTGACAACCTTCGTTTCGCCAGTACCAGACCCACTAGCATGGGCAACAGACGCACTAAGCATATCGTGGGAGGGGCTAAACGCGTACGCTTTCCCGCCTCCTGCGTTGATCCCACAAGTCTTGCTAAAAATTCAGTCAAACGAAGAGCCTCGATCTCATTTTGGTCTCGCCCTACTGGCCAGCGAGAACATGGTTTCCAGACCTCATACGAAGAATCGGAAAACCAGTACTTCAGCTCCCACTGCGCTCCAATCTACTGATACATCCACACACCAAACAAGTGCACAAAACACCAGAAGCATTCCGACTGCACGTGTGGATTGTATCAAAGCGTGTTGAATATAAGAGGTTATTCCAACAGAGCAGCGAAAGGCGGTCACGGCTTGCACTACGTAACTCCACTCGTAATTTATCACGATGATAAATGGCTCAGATTTGTCAATTATGCGGCTAAGAAAAGATTTTCAGCCAGATTTGCTACACATCCTCAAGTGGCAGATTTCTTATGTTTCCTACGTCAAACTAAGAATCTCAAAGGATCTACACTGTCCACTTATCTTGCAGCCATAAGCTCAGTCATTACTATGAGAACTGGCGTTAAACTGACCAAAATACCGGAGTTACTTGCCTTGCTACGTGCCTTCCGTTTGGAAGATCAGAAACGGAAATTTCAAGCGCCAGCATGGGATCTAAACGTGGTACTTCAACACCTCACAAGTGAGGCTTACGAACCGTTATTATCTGCGTCATATGAATCATTGACCCACAAAACCTTATTTCTGCTAGCATTAGCCACTGCCGCCAGAATGTCTGAAATTCACGCTTTGGACTATGAGAGAACACGATTTGATGATATTCATAATATCGCCATCTGGGACTTAAGCTGGGATTTTATATTAAAAATCAACTACCAGGTCAACCAGACAGGTTGTTCCATGTCCCAGCTCTCTCATCCATACTTGGGCCGCGAGGATACGATGGACTTATCACTTTGCCTCCTGTATTGCACTAAAAATATATCTCCAAAGATCCAAGCAAAGTAGAGGGAAATTCAAAAGATTGTTTATCCCTATATCTACCGCTTCACAGACAGAAGTGTCGCAAGACGCACCATTTCTATTTGGATCCGAACTGTCATACTAAGAGCCTACAAGGCAGCAGGACTGAACCCTCCAAGTGCTGCTAATCCCCACCTAAATTAGAGCACTAGCCTCAACTCTCGCGTTACATGGAAACGGTTCATTGAATACCATTATGGAGGGATGTTTTTGGAGGTCCGAGATGGTGTTTGCAAACCATTATCTGAGAGATATCACCACCAAGGACGTCTCAGGTATCCACCATTTCGGTCCCATGGTCCTCGCTGAACAGTTGACAGTTCCACGGAGAAGATAAGTTTATCTTGCTGATTTTATACTTATCTGATAACAGTACTAATAGCTATATGCTATCTATGTATATATTTGCTTAAGTTAAAATATTATCTTAAGCTCAGCACTATGATTCTATATCATAATATATATATACCTACAATTTGTACGAGTTCTACTATTATATATATGTTCAGCTTAAGTTATTCTTTAAGCTCTATCATATGTTCATTTCATAACATGTATTAGTATACAAACTCTCAGTAGTTGGTTACTATTATGCAGCTTAAGTTATCATTATACCTTAGGCACAGTTATGTTATAGCTTATATATATGCATATTGTAAGCTTACTACTTTGGTTCTTATAAAAGTATTCATTATAAACTATCAACAGTTTATACTACCACATTAATGGCTCTAGCTTAATTAATGTTCTATATACTTTTATTATATTCAGTAAATTGTAATAACCTATTTAAAGGCAGCTGTTATTTAACAGCAGGAATTCAGTTCAGTGCCTTCATGAAGTTCCTTTAGGGTTATTACAATCATCTCAGTTCAATCACTAATTAGTAAAATCCAAAGTATATATAATCCCACCTCCTATTCCGTAGAGGATTCTACAAGCAAATAAACATGAGTCAGGATAAGAAAAATATGAAATTTTTTAGAGTAAAATTAATATTTTTATACTTATCCTGACTCATGAGGTAAGCTCTCCTCCGTCCTCCCACTTAAACACTTTGGATTTCTGGGGGAAAAATAAAGTGTTGGGCTCAAAACGAAAAGGAGAGAGTGAGGCACATGGGCTTGGGTGGCGCCCTCCTTCCCGCGCTTACGGAAAGGGAGATAACTCGGGGTGAGTACTAATAGTGATTTCTTTATTGAAGGGAGCTTCAATTGGGAGATACAAGTGTTCCACTAGGTTCGCCAGAAGAAGAAGACAAGCAAATAAACATGAGTCAGGATAAGTATAAAAATATTAATTTTACTCTAAAAATTTCATTTTTGTATTTTTTAAATTTACATAAATATTTTTGTCATTCAGTAGTTTGCACCATTACATAGAAAAGTGTTTTATTAGTATTTTATTTTTCGAAGCGGTAATAATGCATTACACAAGACACGTCAGTCATGTTTGTTCCGGTTCGGTCAATGCATTCTATTTATTAGTATTAATTCAAGGGGTTAGGGTTGGAGTTGGGGACCTAATCCAATATAGTAGGTATACATGTCCGGTGGTTTGGTCAATGCATTCTATTTATTAGGATTATTTCAAGGGATTAGGGTTAGGGCCGTGGGTTTAGGGTTTAGGGTTAGGGACCTAATCCAATATAGTAGGTACATGTCCGGTGTAATACGTGAGTACCATTTGTTGTTTTTCCTTTTGCATTTTAATACTTTTTTTCACACAAAAACGGGAAACCAAAAACGTCGAAAGTAAACTATGAAATGGTTTAATGTAGAAATTTTGGGCTAATGGAAATTGGCCTGGAATTTGCACTGAAGTCTCTTTCACACGCAACATTTGTTCAGTAATGATTCGAAGGCTAACTCACCTTCGTTCCTTAGTGCGATCCACATTATCCTTACAGTGTTCCCTACATCACTTTTCTGTCACAGAATCACCGATTTATATAAAAGCGCGTCATTCATGCACGCACCGTGAAATCTACGTCTGACGCCTGACGTCAACAACCCTTTTGAGTTTGAGGCATATCGGCTCATTCCACGCCACACGTTATCTTGTAGATTACGGAATGGGACGAGTGTGCCAAATGGCATCGGGTCCATTCAGCAATTGTCCGTAGATTAAAATCACGAGACACCAAGTCTACCCGTAGCATTCGTAATTGTCCGTGACCTATTCGACGCTTTCCGTTCATTTCCGTGACGTCACAGGGATGACTCGATAAATTTGCACATTGTGTAACAGTGTGGACGTAGCTCAGTCGGTTAGCTGTCGAGCTAACAATCCGAAGGTCGCGGGTTCGCGTCCGACAGGTTCTCACAATCTTGTTGCTTGTCTTAATGACACTTGACCTACGGCAGAGATCGTCCTCACAAGAAGTTGTGGTGCTGTATTCTAAAGGTGCTCCGAATATTTATACATATTATTTGGGATGGGGGAATGGGAGGAACTCTTACCCATGCATACATGGAAGACATGCACCTGACGGACATGCATGTATGGGAGAGACACACACCATAAGAGTCTGTGGCTGCTTATAGTTGGAATTCTGCAGTCAACTTCAAGTAGCTGTAAAAAATACCATCTAATTAGTCTATAGGTCAAATAGTTTCTTTGCGATCAACAGTTTTCATTTCTGTGATCATAAAATTATCTTGGTCAAATAGTTTCTTTGCGATCAACAGTTTTCATTTCTGTGATCATAAAATTATCTTGTTACTTGTTACATACTTAAAGTGACTTTCGTCCGTAGGTCAAATAGTTTCTTTGCCATCAACAGTTTTCATTTCTGTGATCATAAAATTATCTTGGTCAAATAGTTTCTTTGCGATCAACAGTTTTCATTTCTGTGATCATAAAATTATCTTGGTCAAATAGTTTCTTTGCGATCAACAGTTTTCATTTCTGTGATCATAAAATTATCTTGTTACTTGTTACATACTTAAAGTGACTTTCGTGTTGTATTATACATTAACTGGCATTAATTGGTTGTTTTCTAGAATTAGAATATATACAAAAAAGAAATCAAATTTAGGTCTAGAATGATCTGACAAGTCTAGACTTCAAACTAGTCATTGTTCTCTGTTCCGTTTGGATTTTATTGTATTTTTTCATATATTTTTTTAATAAGATGTCTTTCTTTATGGGACTTAATATTACTTTAGCATCTGATGATTCACAGTGTATAATAATCGTGTTAATAATGAGGATGTCAGTTTTTATGTTTCGGGTAAGCAGTACTGTGTGTCAAGTAAATCCTGTCTGCTGTCATGGAACTTGTATATACATTCTGACTTCTGTGCAACAGATCTGTATTACTGTGTACAAGATGGCCAAGAGTAAGAAGAAGAAGCAAGAGGACTTTCAGAAGGTCAAGTTGAAGGTCGGCAAGAGATTACCCAAAGGTCAAAATGTTACAAATACCAGCTTCAAGACCCATGCCATTCAAGTAGTACAGCAGCTCAAGACTGATGGGTCACAGCCCAGCACACACAGGAAGCTCAATATTGAGGTGAATAATATAATCTTGAAAAAGTTTGGTTCCTGCTGTTAAACAGACAATCTCATTCTTCACACTTGATTTAATCAGTTATAAGTGAGATATTATGTTTTTCATCCAGAATCGTTAACCGGTGTTTTGTATAAAACATACAACTAACTGGCCTCACTGGCGGGGAGATTAGTGATGACATTTGATTGTGATGCCATGGTAACCAAAGATGTTGTGATGCCATCTCACCCTTGATCTCTTCACCTTACTAATGCATGTGCAAATCATGTAATTGGCTTATCTCCACGTATCAACACACTTGCTCTCGAGAGACTTTAAGTTTAAGTAGTACATTCAAAGTAGTCAGTGTTTCTTAGCTCAAGTAGTATTTATCTTGTAGAGTGAGTGAGTGAGTTTAGTATTGTGTTGTTTTTGGCAATATTCCAGCATATATCATGGCGGGGAACACCAGAAGAGGGTTTCCAGATTCTACCCATGTGAGGAATTGAACCTGGGTCTTCGTTGTGACGAGCAAACACTTTAACCTCTAGGCTACCTTTGTCAATGTCTTGTGGGACACACTATTACAGGGAGAAAGTCGGTTCCATGTCTGTGTAGTTACCATTGTTTGTTGTGTAACGCTTCACTCAGCAGTATTCTAACTATGTGATAGCTGTTCGAAAATAATCCAGTCTGGACCAGACAGTCCAGTGACTGTCATGATGAGAATCAATCTAGAAATGATGCCACATCAATCAGTTTGTGAGTCTGACCACCTGGTCTCGTTTTCCCCATGTTACAAATGGGGCGGTGGGTAGCATGGTGGTTAAGACGTTGGCTTGTAACACAAGACGACCCGGGTTCAATTTCTCACATGGGGACAATATGTGTAACTCATTTCTGTGGTCCCACACCACGATATTGCTGGAATATTGCTAAAAGCAGCGTAAAACCATATTCACTTACTCTCTCACCATCTTACAAGCTTACTGGCCTGTTACAGCATGCATGGGTTACTGAAAACTGATTCTTACTGAAATAATCGGGGTGGCAGGGAAGCCTAGTGGCTAAAGCATTCGCTCGTCTCGCCTAAGACCCAGGTTCGATTCCCCACGTGGGTAGAATGTGTGAAGCTGATTTCTGGTGTCCCCCACCCTGATATTGCTGGAATATTGCTAAAAGCGGTGTAAAACCAAACTCACACTCACTCACGACTGAAATATTCATAAATGTAAAATTATCTTATTATTTGGGTTTCAGGATCTGTTGCCGAAGTGTCAACACTACAGCATCGGCGTCCGCCATGATGGGGTGACGGGTCTACGAGAGCTGATGACGCTCCATCCACACATGATCACATCACAACTCGCAACCATCATAGAAAAAGCCTTGCCTCTTATCATGGACAAAGATTCAAATGTTCGTCAAGCGTGTTTAAAGTTGTTCAAACTTATATTTACTAGCACTCCAGCACAGCAGATTGAGCCATTCTTCCCCGTACTCTCCGCACATTTGTGTTGCGCAATGACCCATATTTACGATGACATCCAACATGACTCTCTGGAAGTATTTGACTTGTTACTAGACACGTACCCACTTCTTATCGCCAACAACTCAGGGCAGCTGCTTCAGAATTTTATTGAACAGATTTCCCGCCAACAAAATGTCACAAAAGGTCAAAAGTCGAATTTATCGCTAGCTGTGAAACTTGACAGTAAATATTCTGTGCAGCGATGGCGGTCCGGGATATTGAGTCGTATATATAAGTTGTTGCTGACGTTGCTGATGTGGAGGTTCACGGAGACATCTACGTCAGGTCTCGGGGACAAGGGACGTGAATATGCAGCATTGTCCTGTATCCCTCTGCAGTTTCCATCGAGTGTAGCAGATTCTTGGGAGCAACCAGGATTTAAATTAAAGTGAGTCTGTTGATTTTTACCCTGTTTACTCCCAAAGTTTGTTGTTGTTTTTAATACCACGCTCAGTAATATTAACACTATATAATAGCAGTCAGTCAGTGATCAAGTCTGGAATGGACAATCCAGTGATTGACATCATGAGCATTGACCAATGCAGTTCGGATACAATGACATGCAGGGCGGTGGGGTAGTCTAGTGGTTAAAGTGTTGGCTCGTCACGCCGAAGACCTGGGTTCAAATCCCAAAATGGGTACAATGTGTGAAGCCCATTTCTGGTGTCCCCTGCCATGATATTGCTGGAATATTGCTAAAAGCAGCGTAAAACCATACTCAGTCAGTCAGTACAATGACATGTATTCATGAAATCAGAGAGTTTGACAACCTGGTCAGTTGCGTCTTTGATACAAGGGTTGCTATAGACCACTTGTACCCTGAATGTTAGCATATTAACAAGATTTATCAAAAGATGTTTGTCACAGTAATGATCGTTGGTCTGTCATCAAAGCCATGATCTTAAGTTTACAAAAGAGTAATGTCTTGAGGCCTCAGAGGATTCTGGGTAACCTGAGCTAGCTAAATCAGGGGTCGATTTAAGGAAATGAAACCTACTTGCACCCAGTGGAACCTGAGGCAATCACCTTGTTGCACCAAACAAAACAGGTTGCACCTGCTGCTTAATATAAAATCTTATATAATGCTTGAGTTGTGGTAAAGACGGTTTAGAACAGCATTATAACACAAGAAATCTGTAGTTATTTTACATCCTAAACTTTCATGAACAGTAAGTCCTTCAGTCACTGTCCTACAATAATCAGAGTCACTGTTCCAAGTCAGTTCCTCATCATTCTGTTTTCCAGCTGAAGTCTGTGCTCTTTGAACACAAAATATCAACATGCACTGGGTGCAAGTTGATATACATAAGAGGTTGCATTTGGCAGTTTCAGGTTGCACCAGCGCAAGTTCTAAATGCTTAAATCGAGCCCTGTAAATGGATTGGAGAGTCAGGCTCATTGACATGCATATGTTCACATCATGATGTCTTGGACCATGCTCACAATATCAATCACCAGATTGTCAGGTCCAGATTTATTTACAGTGTGCTGTCACATAGCTGCAGTAGTGGTGAGTGCGGGACTACAGTTGCATTTCCTCCATCGATATGTTGACACATGATGTTATTAATCACTTGAATCTGATATCAGCAACACTTGCAAGACTGGAGTTGGTGACCATGGTTACAGTTGCCATTGATTTTTTTATGTCACATATTGTTATGGCAGTGATAAACAGCTTATGGCAAATTGGTATTCATAGCGTTGAGTCACTATATGGCTGAAATATTGCCGAGGTGACGTTAAATTCTAACTCACTCACTCACTCATGGCGTTGATTGTGTTTTTATTCTTTTGATTTTTAATGCATGTTCTAGTATTGATTAGCATTCCTGTTAGTATTTAGTTATCATATTATGTGGCCTTGAAGTCTAATGTTTCTGCATGTGTTAAAGGTCAGTTACTGCCACAAGTGTGACATCGTCTAAGGGAGATAACTTCGCTGACTTTGCCACGGCTCTGATTCCACTGCTTGTACAGTGCTGGGTGGAATGTCGATCTGCTCATGGACAACAGAAGATCAAAGGTATCAATCATGCAAATGGTATTGTGAAAAATAATAAGATACAAATTTCATGATAGACATTGCTGTATTAATTTATATTCCTTCCATGGCATTGGATAGCTTATACATAGGTCATGGGTCATGAGCTTCCATAGCAGTGAACCAGATGTCTATGTTTATCTATTTATCCAAATATCAGCAGGATGGTAGAGATTGCATGTCCTGATGGGAGACCAGATGCTGGTTGTAGGAGATGTGGTGAGTCAGTTCAGTTTTACGCCACAATCAGCAATATTCCAGCTATATGGCGGCTGTCTGTAAATAATCGAGTCTGGACCAGACAATCCAGTGATCAACATCATGAGCATCGATCTGCGCAATTTGGAACCAGTGGCATGTGACAACCAAGCCAGCGAGCCTGACCACCCGATCCCGTTAGTTGCCTCTTACGACAAGCATGGGTTACTGAAGATCAATTCTAACCCGGATCTGTAGGAGATGTCTTCAGTTGAGTGTTTGTGTTGTCAGACAACCTAGTGGCCCCTGGGTCTGTGACCGTGATGCACCACGTGATGCAAGTCCTCCATCTTCTTTGGAGATGTCTGGACAGGGCTGCCGACGACAACACCTTGGTATGTTATACACTCATATATTTATATAAATTATAACACCTGCATGATTTTGTTATGGCTACTACTATAGCTACTGCTGCTACCAATACTACTGTTGATATGCCACATCTTCTGCTTCTACTCATGCTACTGTTATGGGCACTACTACAGCTACTGGTGCTATTATTACTCCTATAACCATGCCACATCTTCTGCTTCTACTATGGCTGCTGCTGTTACTACTACAGCTTCCCGCTGTTAATTAAACTACTACTTCCATGACTAAAGTGCACTTCTCCCTTAAGACAATCACAATATTGTAATCCTTTCTCATAATGTCAATCACTTGATTTTCTGGTCCAGTCTTTATTATTTACAGACCCCTGTCATATAGCTGAACTATTGTCATGTATGGCATTAAACAGCAAACAGACAAGAAATCAATCAAGACTACTTACCCTGTTCAAAAACCTATAGTTGAAATATACTACCCATCAAAAGTTTAGACTCACTAGTGCAAATGTAGCCACTTACTTCAGTCAACTGTTCTAAACTAGATTTTGCAAAATATTCCATACTGTATAAAGTGAGTGAGTTTAAAGTCACTTTGGCAACATTTCAGTCATATCGTGACTAAAACAACATATAGATTAACAATAATTAAAGATAGAGTATAAAATCCTGTCAATGAAGGACAGTAAAACAATTAGCATATCACAGATATAAATGTAAAACTAGTAATTATACCCCCGCTACGAAGTAACGGGGGTATATAGCGTTCATTCTGTCCGTCCGTCCCGAAACTTTGTCCGGAGCATATCTCTTAAAGTTTACATGCTAGGTTCACCAAACTTCACAGACATGTTAATCATTACCCATTGATGTGCCTTTTGCTATTTTAAAGTTTTTTCAGAATTTAGTTTTTTTGCTGTTTCCATGGAAACACGACTTAGGCTGTGACTATGAGGATGTCATCTTGTCCGGAGCAGATCTTCCAAACTATACATGCTAGCTTCATCAAACTTGGTACACATATCAAGCATGATCCCTAGATGTGCCTTTTGGGGGGTAGATCCAGATATGAATTGTATTTTTTGCTGTTTCCATGGAAACACGACTTAGTGCCAAATATGTTTGATTATTTTGTCCAGAGCATATCTCTTAAAGTTTACATGCTAGGTTCACCAAACTTCACACACATGTTAATCATTACCCATTGATGTGCCTTTTGCTATTTTAAAGTGTTTTCAGAATTTAGTTTTTTTGCTGTTTCCATGGAAACACGACTTAGGCTGTGACTATGAGGATGTCATCTTGTCCGGAGCAGATCTTCCAAACTATACATGCTAGCTTCATCAAACTTGGTACACATATCAAGCATGATCCCTAGATGTGCCTTTTTGGGTTTACATCCAGATATGAATTGTATTTTTTGCTGTTTCCATGGAAACATGACTTAGTGCCAAATGTGTTTGATTATTTTGTCCAGAGCATATCTCTTAAAGTTTACATGCTAGGTTCATGCTAGGTACATGCAAAATGTATTTGATGGTGACCTGACCACGGCATATCATCGCAACTATACATGCTAGGTTCACCACACTTAATACACAAGTTAATCATGACCCACAGATATGCCATGTGCTAAAAAATAGCAATCTTCATCTACGTCCATTGTGTGCAACATGACACACTCAAGTTCAATTGTATGTCAGGTTTCCACGGAAAACACAAAAAAAATCTAGTTTCCATAAATTATTACCGTAATCAGTACATGCCAAAACTATTATCTAACATTTATATAAAGTTTAGTAGAGTCAAAGAGAAAGTCTTGTGAGCTGCTGATCCTTGTCACATTATATATATCAATATCAGTCATTTCCATGTCCCAAAGTGGGAAGCGGGGGTATGTGAGCTTTGCTCACTTCTACACTTGTTAAATCTAAAACATTTTAACTATAGAGGACTACACAATATAAAATTAAAAATAGGCTATAGATCACCAACAACTGAAGGTAGTTCACCATACTACTGACTGAGTTTAGTTTTACGCCGCTTTTAGCAATATTCCAGCAATATCACGGCGGGGGACACCAGAAATGGGCTTAACACATTGTGCCCATGTGGGGAATCGAACCCGGCTCTTTGGCGTGACGAGCCAACGCTTTAACCACTAGGCTACCCCACCGCCCCTCACCATACTAGGGACCATGGGGACTTACAGTACCTTTGCTACCTGCATGGACCCTAGTTGGATTTACAACATCCCTTCAGCTGTTGACAATTGTACGAAATGTTAGCCAAAATTAATATTACAAGAATACTACGTTTAAAATCCTGGTAAGTTTAAATTGACTTTGAAAGTTTTGGGACTTACGTCATACTGTATAAAGGAACTGTTTACACATGAACTGATGTATTGTGAAACAAATTTGTAACGTTGAAAAGATTATTGTCATGAGTTCAATAACTGATGAAACTCAGTGAAAATTGGTGAATTCTTAACAAAACTTTACACAAAAACACAGCTGTTGACATGCACGATATTTGCACATGCTTTTCAGTAATTTGATGCATGATCCTCGTGCAATTCATCTGCATAAGGTTTGCAGTTGGTTCACCCAAATTAGTGGAGAAATCTATCTTCGATGGAACCACATATGTATACATAGCATATAGTGAGTGCTTTAAGTGAGTCTAAACTTTTGATGGGTAGTATAGTTTGCCATTACATTGAGCAATGGTGGTCAAACATTCATACATTCTCAATGATTCCTTCCTGATTAGTACACAGAAAGTTGCAAAGATAAGTACAGATATTTGAGGGCTAGTGATGCTGGAAGTTGAATCGTGCTGTTGTTTCATCAGATTATGAATCATATACATTATAGCAGAGTTGTTGGTGCACCTCATGTTAAAGTGGGAGTCTAGTATTAGGAAAACCATATGTGACACTTTCTGTGAATACACAATGCCATTTAGAAAGTGGTCAAATGTTACACATTGTATTTGGGAGTACACTTGTGGGTGAGTTTGTTAGATGGTTGACTTTGTGTGCTGGCGATTAGGTACTTGACTCTGAGCGTGTGGTTTCGAATCCCGGATTGGAGTCAGCACAACCACAGTACTAGAATCTGTACTTTATTGGGAAAGTGCAATCCCGTAGTTTCTGTAGCGACAATTCAATATTGAAGCCATTTATAAGATGCAGCACGGAGATACAGTTACAACATGGAGGCTGATTTTGCAGGTGAAGGAAGTCTTTGGGAGTCATGAGAAGGAGTTTATGAATCACTTCATGACCTACTTCCCCTACAGCATACAGGACAACGTCGGCCACCGCAACACTGCCGCCAACAGGAAGAACAAGAAGGAGGTCATCCAGGTAAACAGTGTTAAGTGTTTTGCTGTTCACCTTCAGGGAGGTGGAGTATAGTTGGGCCATTTTGGAACACTAAAAGTATATGACCGTGGGTTTGAGTGCCGGTTCATCTAGTTAAAGTTTCATCTATGGGAGAGCTGGAGTGTACCTGCTGTTTGTAGTCTGCTGCATAAAGTAGGACCACAGAGCTGCTTACGGCAATGTTATTATGTGAAGGGAATCGTAGTGAAGTTCTACAGACTCATGATATTTTTGTCATGAGTTTACCCTATCTTCAACACAATGCTAAGTTTCATGCAGCATATATATAGAACGGCAATGTTCAGACCCGGGTTAGATTTGGTCTTCAGCAAGCCATGTTGTTGTAGGAGGCTGCACATGTCAGCGTATCCCAGTTACATAAATTAAGGCTCGTGCTGTTGATCACTGGATTGTGTGGTCTAGGGTTTATTATCTACAGACCGCCACAATGTAACAGGAATATTCCTGAGTACGGTGTTAAACAACAAACAAATCAGTTATCTAAATCATTGGTAGAACACAAGTGGTTGTTTTTGATTGTTACATGTGACAGTACCTTGGCCTTTACAGGTGACTGCAGAAGCCTTGAACCTGTCTGTGTGTGAGGTCATGGCGACCTTGGTGGAGACAACCCAGGACAAGACGCTATCTGCCAGTATTGGGGACTATCTGTGTGCCTGTCTGACCATGGAGCATCTTGGACCTGACCTCAGCAAGACCCTTGTTGCCGTCTTGCAGCAATTTCTCACAGTCTGCAGCGACACAGGTATGTTTTTCTCAGACATGCAGGTGAAATTGGGTTTAACGTCGTGCTTGAGAATATTTCGCTCATATGACGACGTGAATGCGTGCGTATGTGTAAGTGCAGCTGCTTGTACTAGCCCAGACTTAAGCTGGTTTTATGGTGCTAGCCCATTGAGATACCATGTCGCAGTGAAGCATGAATACTCCACTCAGACACATTATACTGACTCCGAGCCGACCAGTCCTTGTTGTACCCATTAATGCCGAGAGCCAGACAGAGACCAACAAGTTCCATATTTTAATGTCTTTTGGTGATGCGGTCGGGGATCGAACCCGCGACCTTCAGCTCTCTGGGCGGACGCTCTAACCACTACACCACGGAGGGGGTAACAGTCAAGACAGCATGTATACAAGACAAGTGTGCTCTTCAGTACCAAGTGAAGCACTTGGCCCTAATTAATTCACTGTGATAAACTAATTTCAGGATCAAACCCAGCAAGTGTGATTATAGCTTCCCATAAAATCCTGCATTTGTGATGGCTGTTGTCAGTCATACATAACCATATGTAGTGCAGGCAGCTTTCAGAGTAGAGTCCACTGTAGACACAAGTGTTTAAAGGCCGGGGTGCAAATCTCCAAAACCCCCATGGGTTTCCAAGCAGTCTCCCATTTTCTACTCCTCAGCAGTGTAGATGTTATCTGCCCATGAGTGACAGGGCTGTAACGGCTATGGGTGCCTGGCAAGAGTCTGGCGATGTCAAAAGTCAACCTTGGAATTTACTAATATAATAGATAGTGCCTTTGAGTAAATGTCCTGACAACCCTTTCACAATATATGTTGATGACTAAAGAGATTAATTTGATTAGCATATATGACATTTCAAATTTTACTTATTATCTGAAAATAAAATCTTGAACATGTTGATGTCAGGTTCAAACAAGCATACAGCCCTAACCCTGCACAGAATGAGGGCATTTTGACAGCCTCCCTGAAATATGAAACCCTGAAACTTCTAGCCAACTCACAGACTTGTTTCTATGGAAATGCACCTCCTCTGGTCACCTGACTGATACAGGGGAAACTTCAAATCTGGATTTGAAAAAGAGAAATACATTTTCATAATGTATGTTTTGTAGGCTCTCTGCATACATACATTTTACAGTGAGCCTTCATAACATACTTCTTTACACTATAGCTTAATTTCAGCCTGAACCGGTGAGTCAGTTTTGTGATATTTCATGGACTGTACTTGAATACTGCATTGCTTTACATCCAAAGACAGCTTTGACAAGGCAAGGAGGCCACACCCCATCTGTGTATAGGTTTGAATCCCGGCCTTTAAGGATCAGTCGTTACAATGTATGACATGGCTCATTCTATTAGTTTCTGTAGTTTGTCAAAATTTGACAGCCAGCAGCCAGCAGCCAGCAGCAAATGGTATTTATCATACTCGCTGAGCAGAGGTGAAAGTCATTTTTTCTCCTTTTTCCAAATGACACTGAGAAATTCATTCACCAAAGGTCAATAAGAATGTCAAAGGTCAAGGTCAAACAGCACAGGTCAATATTGTCAAAGGTCAAGGTCAAAGCATAAAAATTACTTTAAAAAGTAAATCTTTTGTCTTCTTATTCGTATATATGAACCTTTTTGAAAAGGTTTGGAAAAGTTTTGATCCAACGTCAAGGTTAACATTCAGATATTTGTAAAACTAATATTTGCAACCATAGTAGAGGTTCAGATTCTGTTCATTGTTTTTAAATTTATGTCTATGTCAGTCATTTTTACGGTTTTTGATATTGCTTTTTGTGTCAGATCTTGTTGAGAGCATTGTGGAGAATGGTCTGGCTCGGTACAGCAAGGCCCATCCACTGTCGACCGAGAAGCGTCTGTACTTGGAGCTCTTCACCAGCCTCTTTCTGGATTCAAAGATACAACTTCCAAAGTGAGGCCATGTGAAAACTAATATTGAAAGACGAAAATGTTAACATTTTATATGGTATCTCAGTAGGCTAGCACTATAAACGGGCGAAATTGTGGACTAATACATGCACTTACACACAAGCACTTACACACAAGCACATGCACACCGCTTTAGAAAACCATAATTTGACTTCAGTTGATATTTTTTAATGTTGATTAAAATGATTTGACTGTTATCCTCTAAAAGGAAACAGATGGGCGACATGTTTTGTAAGTTTGAAACATTGTGGATGGAGGAGGGGAATGAGCCACAAAGAAGATCAATAATGATATATATTTTTTCACTCCAGCATGAGAGTGCTCATGGACCAGTTCTTCCAGACACTGCCAGAGTTACTTCCCCATGTCTACTCTGATAGTCCCCAGATGGCAGCACTCGTTGTTCGGGTGATGAGACAAGCTGCTTGTCAGAGGTGTCGCCCTCTGCTGGACAATCTGGAGACCAGCTTCGTGTCTATACTTGGTGAGAATCTGTATCTCTAGTCTTTGTATCTCTAGTCTGGACTAGGTTGTATATAATAGCTCAAGAATAAGGTGACCCAGGCAGGTTCATGTGTATTGAAGTGTTTAGAAAAATTGTAGGTTCAGTTTAAGATATGAAGAAGAGTCAAACCAGGTATATTTTAGACTTGTTTGAGTTATGTTAATGAGAAAAATGTGGAGAATTTCAATGGTTATCATAAACAGAATTTCTTACAGTAGTTGTCATGTTATTCTAGATGTGACGGATGGTTTGTTCATCCAGACCGAGGCTGCCTTACAGCGAGGTTTACTGGACACGCTGTACTGGGTACCTCGCTTCACAACACAGCTCCTCACACAATTGGTCAACGTGTGTCACCATGGCAACGTGTCAACAGCAGTGTCTCTCTATCTTCTTGATATCGTTCACACCAGGTGATGTATGGTCAATACATTGTAACAGTTTGTATGTGAGACTTTGAAGGTATTGTGTTATGGATCCAAGAATGCTTTAACATTTCGAGGTAAAAAATATAGAAAGGGGGAAATTTTGTAGAACTGATCTCCTGTAATGTGAGGAACATGACATTTTGGTGTATAGTCTTCCTCCTTCATCAGATGAAACCGACCCGTGAAGGTCCGGGTTAGAATTGATCTTCAGTAACCCATGCTTGTTGCAAGAGGCGATTATTGGGATCAGGTGGTCAAGCTCGCTTACTTGGTTGACTGGTGAAGAGCTCAAGTACAGACGTCATCGTATCACAATTGCATAGATAGATGCTCATAATATTGGGGGCGGTGGGGTAGCCTAGTGGGTAAAGTGTCCACTTGTCACACGCCGAAGATCTGGTTTCGATCCCCACATGGGTACAATGTATGAAGCCCAATTCTGGTGTCCCACGCCGTGATATTGCTGGAATATTGCTAAAAGCGGCGTAAAACCATACTCACTCACTCATGATATTGATCACTGGATTGTCTGGTCCAGACTCACCAAATAGCTGGAATATTTCTCAGTGTGGTGTTAAACATAAAACAAAAACAAAACAAAATCATAAGATGACATCCATTTGTTTATACGGGTAGGCCGTATGTGTAACTCTTAATGCAGCTCTTTGAATGAAAATACAGATTCATTCTAAAACTTGCACAGTCTGTAAAGCAACCAATAGAACCATCTTGTGATAGTTGTAGAGGACGTCCACCCCTTTACATGTTCACCTGTACTGGTTGTTACCCAATGAGACCCGTGAAGATCCGGGGTAGAATAGGTCTTCAGCAACCCATGCTTACCACAAAAGGCGACTATGCTTGTCGTAAGAGGCGACTAACGGGATCGGGTGGTCAGGCTCGCTGACTTGGTTGACACATGTCATCGGTTCCCAATTGTGCAGATTGATGTTCATGATGTTGATCACTGGATTGTGTGGTCCAGACTCGATTATTTACAGACCGCCGCCATATAGCTAGAATATTGCTGAGTGCGGTGTAAAACTAAACTCACCCACTCACTGTTACCCAATGATGATTCTTGGTCGGACATCATCTTCAGCAACTCTTGCTTATATGCTTATATGCTTATATGCTTGATGGATGTCATTCCTTGACACATGTCATTATGATTAGTGTGTGAATCCTATATTAGAAGGTACACTTATTGTCCCAGTCTTTTGTTGATAGGGAATTGCTTTGTGATTGAGAGTGTTTTGTTACAGATTTCAGAGGGAAATTGCTACCGAGAAGCACATGGAAAGTGATGTAACCATGACTACCAATTATCTGTCATTCCTGTTATCTATCATTGCTGGTAAGCAGTGTTTTTCTCTCTCTGTGCCAAAAGTAAGTTGGGATAAATAGAAGATGTGTTATGTTCAAAGATACATTTGACTTTTTAGAAAAGTGATACATTTTCAGATTCCAATTTGTCCAAGTAGCTTTAGTGATTCAAATTTAGGGAACTGTAGGAAATCTCGTCTTGATGTGTGAAACCCAGTCTGAGTGTCCCTGATGTAATAGCAGTGTATGAAATAAGGCCTGTCCGACCACCCGAGCCGGGTTAGATTTGTGACGGACGGTCTACATTTACAGATGTTCCATACATCTGAGTAAATTTACCATATTTAGTCTGGTTAAATCCATTTGGGGCTGGTAACATTTTGAACTTACAAGCCCTGATGTCTGGCTGGATTTTTGGCTTATTTCATACACTGGTAATAGGCCAAAAATACTGCTGGAAGTGGAATAGAACTGAACTCACCCATTCATGAACCTACACTGACAATAGACAAAGTGGTAAAATTGTTTTGCTGTCCAAGTAGGAGCCAACTGCCTCTATGTTCTAGTGGACAGTGTGTCTGTCTGGAGAGTGGAGGGTCAGCAGTACAAACTCTGGGTGCACCATACCAAAAGATGGTATGCTTAGTTCTAAATGGATACACACAGTCCGAGTCAGGCATCCATGTAACCAGACAACTATCAGATGCCTCTCAGTGGGCTGGCAATATAGAACCAGCATGAGTGGAAAATAGCCATCCGTGGAGATCTGGGTTAGAATTGGTCTTCAGCAACCAATGCTTGTTGTAAGAGGCGACTAACAGGATCAGGTGGTCAGGCTCGCTGACTTGGTTGACACATGTCATCGGTTCCTAGTTGCATAGATTGATGCTCATGCTGTGATCACAGGATTGTCTGGTCCAGACTCAATTATTTATAGACCGCCGCCATACAGCTGGAATATTGCTGAGAGCGGTGATAAACAACAACCCCCACCAAACCAAACAATAGGCTCACACACATGTGCATGTACGTTATTATGTAATGGAACAAATAAAAGCAATCTTAAACACCATTTCACTTCCTTGTGTTGTTCAGAGACAGCCACATTGTTACATTCCAGACAGAAACAGATTGAGTTTTGAGCAAGAAAAACAAGATGGCTGCCATGTGACGTCTGCTCCAGAAATAGACTGGAATGTGTCCTCTGAGCGATGGGAGAAACACACAGTTATGGTTGATGTAAGTAGATACAGGAAGTCACATTTAGGATAGTTAGTCAAAATTTTAGTGTGATTGAATGTGCACTTGATATAAGGAGTACATGCCACCATTTTGAATACTACTTATAGTTTGGGGGGGATGCTGAAAGTATAGGTATTCACATGCCATGAAACGTCAAGATTTCAGGACCTCCATTTCCAATGTACAGTATTGTTCAACCAGTCAGAGAGCAACACATACACAATTACAACATTAGAATGTAGCTCATCAATCAGATATTTTCCGCGATGTTATATATCTGCATGAGGATCTGTGTGACTTTTCTCTGTAGCCAGTGAGAGTTATGGCTTCCATGTTATCAGTACAAGGGAGAGAAATATACTAACAAGCTTATCTATTTCTGGGAACAATATACTCAAGGACTTCTACCTGTGAAATATAATGCTGGTATACTACTGTGGATATTATTTACTATTTCTCAATTATGAGTGCTAAGGCATGTATTGGGTATTTTTGTGTTTTGTGGCAGTTTTCAGTTGCTATGTTCATGATTCCCCAAAGTCTCCTATGATTTTTTGACCGCCTCCGTGGTGTAGTGGTTAGAGCGTACTCCCGGAGAGCGGAAGGTCGCGGGTTCGATCCCGGACTGCATCAAACCAAAAAGACGTTAAAATATGGTACTTGTTGGTCCCTGCCTGGCGCTCGGCATTAATGGGTACAACAAGGACTGGTCGGCTCGGAGTCAGTATAATGTGTCTGAGTGGGATATGCATGCTTCACTGCGGCATGGTATCTCAGTGGGCTAGCACTATAAAACCAGCTTCAGTCTGGGCTAGTACAAGCAGCCGCACATACACATACACACGCATGCACGTCGTCATATGAGCGAAATATTCTCAAGCACGACGTAAAACCCAATTTCACCTCACCTCACCTATGATTTTTAATGCAGAGTAAAAGTAATTTTTAATAATAATATTGCAACATAATGGAATACATTTTGGTTATCACAGTTTCAAAAAGTACATGTAGAAACAAGCCACAGCAACATGGACTTGTTCGATATGATTTCCATGTTAGTGCTGTGTGAAGATGACACTGCCTGGTTTTGTTTCAGAGAGTTCTTCATCATCTTCAGCAAGTGCCTGATGTGTCTGGGCTTGGGGACGTCCTCCTGTCCCGCTGGTGCCCTCTCCTGGTGAGTACTTGGACGTGTCACAGCTCACATTGTTCTGGGGCAGTGGCAGGGTGGAGGTCAGATTGCCCTCTTGGTAAATGCTGTGGAACACTACAGCTCATATTGTTCTGGGACAGATGTGGGGGGAGGGGGTCAGATTGCCCTCTTGGTAAATGCTGTGGAACATTACAGCTCCTATTGTTCTGGGACAGAGGTGGGGGTCAGATTGCCCTCTTGGTAAGTGCTGTGGAACATTACAGCTCATATTGTTCTGGGACAGAGGTGGGGGTCAGATTGCCCTCTTGATAAGTGCTGTAGAACATTACAGCTCATATTGTTCTGGGACAGAGGTGGGGGTCAGATTGCCCTCTTGGTAAGTGCTGTAGAACATTACAGCTCATATTGTTCTGGGACAGAGGTGAGGTGTGGGCAGATTGCCCTCTTGATAAGTGCTGTGGAACATTACAGCTCATATTGTTCTGGGACAGGGGTGGGGGTCAGATTGCCCTCTTGATAAGTGCTGTAGAACATTACAGCTCATATTGTTCTGGGACAGAGGTGGGGGTCAGATTGCCCTCTTGGTAAGTGCTGTAGAACATTACAGCTCGTATTGTTCTGGGACAGAGGTGAGGTGGGGGCAGATTGCCCTCTTGATAAGTGCTGTAGAACATTACAGCTCATATTGTTCTGGGACAGAGGTGGGGGGAGGGTCAGATTGCCCTCTTGGTAAGTGCTGTAGAACATTACAGCTCATATTGTTCTGGGACAGAGGTGGGGGTCAGATTGCCCTCTTGGTAAGTACTGTAGAACATTACAGCTCATATTGTTCTGGGACAGAGGTGAGGTGGGGGCAGATTGCCCTCTTGATAAGTGCTGTAGAACATTACAGCTCCTATTGTTCTGGGACAGAGGTGGGGGTCAGATTGCCCTCTTGGTAAGTGCTGTGGAACATTACAGCTCATATTGTTCTGGGACAGAGGTGGGGTGGGGGTCAGATTGCCCTCTTGGTAAGTGCTGTAGAACATTACAGCTCATATTGTTCTGGGACAGAGGTGGGGGTCAGATTGCCCTCTTGATAAGTTCTGTAGAACATTACAGCTCATATTGTTCTAGGACAGAGGTGGGGGTCAGATTGCCCTCTTGGTAAGTGCTGTAGAACATTACAGCTCATATTGTTCTGGGACAGAGGTGGGGGTCAGATTGCCCTCTTGGTAAGTGCTGTGGAACATTACAGCTCATATTGTTCTGGGACAGAGGTGGGGGTCAGATTGCCCTCTTGGTAAGTGCTGTGGAACATTACAGCTCATATTGTTCTGGGACAGAGGTGGGGTGGGGTCAGATTGCCCTCTTGGTAAGTGCTGTGGAACATTACAGCTCATATTGTTCTGGGACAGAGGTGGGGGTCAGATTGCCCTCTTGGTAAGTGCTGTGGAACATTACAGCTCATATTGTTCTGGGACAGAGGTGGGGGGGTCAGATTGCCCTCTTGGTAAGTGCTGTGGAACATTACAGCTCATATTGTTCTGGGACAGAGGTGGGGGTCAGATTGCCCTCTCTGTGGGAACATTACAGCTCATATTGTTCTGGGACAGAGGTGGGGGTCAGATTGCCCTCTTGGTAAGTGCTGTGGAACATTACAGCTCATATTGTTCTGGGACAGAGGTGGGGTCAGATTGCCCTCTTGGTAAGTGCTGTTCTGACAGGGACAGAACATGCCCTCTTGGTAAGTGCTCAGAACATTACAGCTCATATTGTTCTGGGACAGAGGTGAGGTGTGGGCAGATTGCCCTCTTGGTAAGTGCTGTAGAACATTACAGCTCATATTGTTCTGGGACAGAGGTGAGGTGGGGGCAGATTGCCCTCTTGATAAGTGCTGTAGCACATTACAGCTCATATTGTTCTGGGACAGAGGTGGGGGTCAGATTGCCCTGATGGGAAGCGCTGTGAAACATTACAGCTCATATTGTTCTGGGACAGATGTGGGGGGAGGGGGTCAGATTGCCCTCTTGGTAAATGCTGTGGAACATTACAGCTCCTATTGTTCTGGGACAGAGGTGGGGGTCAGATTGCCCTCTTGATAAGTGCTGTAGAACATTACAGCTCATATTGTTCTGGGACAGAGGTGGGGGTCAGATTGCCTTCATGGTAAGTGCTGTGGAACATTACAGCTCATATTGTTCTGGGACAGAGGTGGGGTATGGGTTGGCATTTTCTTTAGGTTACACTTACTACTTCACAGCAGACAGGATTATGTTTGGTGCAGTGGCCTGAAGGGTGTTCAAGTGGCCCTTAAGTTGAGTCCAAGGAGTGTCTAATGTGTCACAGCTCAAACTGTTTTCCGTGTTTACCTATTTGGTCATGTCAGAAATAATCAGGTCATTTGGTGTTCTTAGTTCGAGGGGAGATAACCCATTTGAGAGAACTAGGTACAGATAAATAGTAGAGTGAGTGAGTTTTGTTTTATGCCGCATTCAGCCGTATTCCAGCTATATGGCGGCTGCCTGTAAATAATCGAGTCTGGACCAGACAATCCAGTGATCAACAGCATGAGCATCGATCTGCGTTATTGTCAGCAAGCCGGACCACCCGATTCTGGATAAGTAGTAGAGAGGTAACCGGTAGAGGTAATTGGTTAAGAGAGATGGTTTGTTATGACTGGTTTGAGATAACTGAGGTATCATATGGACAGATGAAAATGGATTTAAATTTTTTAAGTATTATCCCAATTTTGCTTTCAGACAGTGCCTCACAAGGTGTGTGTCACCACAATACTCAGTTGTCTCAAGTGCCTCAGTGTCTTCCAAGCTGCTGTTAACCAGTCACACCAATCACTGACAGATGCAGTTGTCAAGATTTGTATCTCTTTGACCATGGAGATGGTAACCATGGTTCCACCTGAAGACAATATCAACCAGATAAACAAAGATCTGTGGGAGTGTGTCAGTCAGTGTCTGGTGACTGTGCCCAGCATCATCAACAAGTATTTCATCTCTGTCAATGGTCTTCTACAAAGTGAGTACCAAACTTCAGCCAGTGTGACTACTACACTTCACTACAGACCCTGTAATACTCACCTGTCTACTGCAGCCATTCACTCACCTGTCTACTGCAGCCATTCACTCACCTGTCCACTGCAACCATTCACTCACCTGTCCACTGCAGCCATTCACTCACCTGTCCACTGCATCCATTCACTCACCTGTCCACTGCAGCCATTCACTCACCTGTCTACTGCAGCCATCCACTCACCTGTCTACTGCAGCCATTCACTCACCTGTCTACTGCAGCCATTCACTCACCTGTCTACTGCAGCCATTCACTCACCTGTCTACTGCAGCCATCCACTCACCTGTCCACTGCATCCATTCACTCACCTGTCTACTGCAACCATTCACTCACCTGTCTACTGCAGCCATCTACTGCAGCCTCACTCACCTGTCTACTGCATCCATTCACTCACCTGTCCACTACAACCATTTACTCACCTGTCTTCTGCAGCCATTCACACACCTGTCTACTGCAACCATTCACTCACCTGTCTACTGCATCCATTCACTCACCTGTCTACTGCATCCATTCACTCACCTGTCTACTGCAGCCATTCACTCACCTGTCTACTGCATCCAAGCACTCACCTGTCTACTGCAGCCATTCACTCACCTGTCTACTGCAGCCATTCACTCACCTGTCTACTGCATCCAAGCACTCACCTGTCTACTGCAGCCATCCACTCACCTGTCCACTGCAGCCATTCACTCACCTGTCTACTGCAGCCATTCACTCACCTGTCTACTGCAGCCATTCACTCACCTGTCTACTGCAGCCATTCACTCACCTGTCTACTGCAGCCATTCACTCACCTGTCTACTGCAGCCATTCACTCACCTGTCTACTGCAGCCATCCACTCACCTGTCTACTGCAGCCATTCACTCACCTGTCCACTGCATCCACCAACTCACCTGTCCACTACAACCATGCACTCACCTGTCTACTGCAGCCATTCACTCACCTGTCCAGTGCATCCACCAACTCACCTGTCCACTACAACCATGCACTCACCTGTCTACTGCAGCCATTCACTCACCTGTCCACTGCATCCACCAACTCACCTGTCCACTACAACCATGCACTCACCTGTCTACTGCAGCCATTCACTCACCTGTCTACTGCATCCACCAACTCACCTGTCCACTACAACCATTCACTCACCTGTCTTCTGCACTCACCTGCCCACTACAACCATTCATTCACCTGTTCAATGCAGCCATTCACACACTAGTCCACTGCAGCTATTCACTCAACCATATGACTTGGCATAGTGCTGTGGATGCTCATGCTATCAGCCACCAGTTTGTTACCATAACTACTGACTCTCCCCTTGCAGCCTGCAGTGAGGAGACAGTAGTGACAGCGATAAGGTCCATGGTGCATGTCCTACAGGATCAGTCGGCTGCTGCCCTCCCACGGTCAGTCGACCACCACCTGGAGGCGATACAGCGCAAGGTCAAGGTCAGTCACTATGTATGTTGTGTGTCATATGCTTATGTTACCAATCCCTGGTGTAACTGTAAAACATCAGATCACAGGAGCTAACAAAAGCACTGGTGTGTTTGAGATCTGTAGGTGCCACATGGTCGAAGCTCATGAGATACCAATTAATTATGACGTCTTGTCTTATGAGTATCAAGATTGTAAGAAACATTAATGTACTGTAAGAAACCAACTGGTTCAGGGCTGTCTCTACACTTCGTCATAGTTGCAGTCATACTATAATCTAGTCTCCTACCAAATTGAACCCCTAGTAGGGTAGCCTAGTGGTTAAAGCATTGTCACCCCAAAGGCCCGGGTTCAATTCCTCACATGGGTACAATGTGTGAAGCCCATTTCTGGTTTCCCCCCGCCATGATGTTGCTGGAATATTGCTAAAAGTGGCTTAAAACCATACTTACTCACTCATTCACTCAGTTTATGCAGTTGGGAAGTGTGACAAAATAAACAGATCATTGCTAAGACAATTTTACATCTTTATTATTTGATTTATGGATCCAACCCAAAATACAAATAAAATAAAGAAAAATGAATCCTTTTATCCATGTAAGCAGATACAGAAAAATTGTTTAAAGGAACATATTCTATAAATTTGAAACGCAGGATTAAAATGACTTGCCATCAAAACACTCCTTTGAAGACTAAATTGCTTCAGCAATGATGTGATAATGCAAGCTGGATAAAAAGGGGAAGTAACTCCAGCCACATTCAGCCTGGTCATGTCCACATTTCTGTGTATTGTATAATTATATATCCCTGGCAGTTCTTGCCATACAAGTTTTGTCTTTACTTCTGTTTTCAGAAATGTTTTCCTGATGTTGTCAACAGTCAGTGCTGGAAGGATCTCATGTACTGCTGTTCTATTCTGACCAATCAGAGATCAGTTGCAATGTCATGTGATGAATAAATCTGTCTTGTACATGCATATAGTTCTCTCCTTACCAAGTCGCTGGTCATGGGTGTTCTATATGTCAAACACCACAAGAAAGCAGTATTTTGTATGTATATACACTGGCGCAGCAGGGTATTGGCTCCATCTAGGAGTTACTGGATCAGTCGAGTAATGGCATTATCTTTGATAGTAACCGTGAAGATATGGGTTAGAATTGGTGTTCAGTAACCCATGCTTTTCATAAGAGGTGACTAACAGGATCTGGTGGTCAGACTTGATTGACACGGCATTATATCCCAATGGTATAGATCGTTGATGTTGATCACTGGATTGTCTGGTCCAGACTTGATAACTTACAGACTGTCACCATGTGACTGGAATATTGCTGTGTGCAGCGTTAAACAACAATCAATTATCTTGGATATACTGAGGTACCCAAGTACTGCCTCCATCTTGGATATACTGAGGTACCCAAGTACTGGCTCCATCTTGGATATACTGAGGTACCAAAGTACTGGCTCCATCTTGGATATACTGAGGTACCCAAGTACTGGCTCCATCCATGATAAACTTGATTAGCCAAATAATGGCTTAACCCTGGATTACTGGAACACCTGACTAATTATAGCCTTGTCTAAGATGGTGCTATTTCTTCATTAATGTATACATCAGAAATAGTTGTATTTAGGCTCTAAATCAGATCCAGCAAAGTACCTACCGGTATTCATGCCAGCCACTTCTGGAGTTTTCAGTAATAGAAAATAAACAAGCAACATTCAATTTTGACAACAAAATTTACTTCACAATGAATGACCAGCATTTTTACAATGATATCGTTCTTACCAATGTTTAAGCATCCGACTACTATGACTGGAGTCTAGAGAAAACAGGAAACATGAACAGTAGATAGAGATATTCAGTGTAGTGGTCTCGCTAGGGCCTGGCTTGTAACAAAATACACAACTACTGTGGCAGCAACAGCAGCATCGCAGACCAGCAACTGAGGCGGAGACAATGCTCAGGGTACGCGACTGCAAACACTTCCTCAAACAGTTTCGTATGATTGGCATTGAAATCACTTTATACGAATATTGAGAGACATTCTCAAATAGGTGAAAATCTATCAAAATTTCGCCTCTGTACTCAAATTATTGTTTTGTCACTATATTTGATTGATTTAAAAAAACAGAATTGGTGAAGTAGGGTTTATTCTATACACATGCTTCTTTACCTTTTTGGCAATCTTGGCGCCAAAAACTATGGTAATATAGTCATGGCAACATTAAGCCGTTCTGTAGAAGGACAAGGACGGTTGATATAAGAAATGATATTCAATACCAATACAGAAAGTGAATAGGAGCAGAAGTTAAAATCTTCAAAGGTATATGAAGATAATTTCGTTTGACTAACTGCCGATGGTTGTGAGTGTTGTCCCCGCTGCGCTACCACTTGCACTGTGTCAATATATATATAATAATAAGTGGAAAACACTGGCACTGGAGCAACTCGGTCGGAAGAAGAAGCAGTTGAGAATCACGGGGTAGGTACATGAGCAAACCTGCCTGCAGCACACGCCGCCACGGCCGACGTCCTCGACATAATGCTGACCGTCAGACTAACAAGTGATGTCTGCCATTTCACACTGTAAAATAACATCCAACTCTCGCATAGGTCCTATACTCACAACTTTCATCTGATATTGAAGTTCTGTGTCATCCATATTAAGAAAATGATTTATACTGTGATTTCACAAAATTTAATCAAAGGTGTAGTTCTACAAAGTCATTTAATTTGTGTTAATTATGGTCACCCAACAGACTTTTTAATATGATTATGGTTCAAAGCACAATTCTTTAAATTCAGATCTTGAAGGGCTCAAGGCTGTCTGTAGGATCTTGTGACCTTGACCCCAACTTATGACCTTGCCTTGTAAAAATGGGTCATGGCAACAGAGAATTGGCAACTGGAGAACTTTACGGTAATGTACTGATCTCTGAACAAATTCCATCTACAACCATTAGTCACATGTTTGGTTTACGGTATTCCTGGAACTTCATCACAGAGGAACTTCAGAGCACAGTTACCCCATGAGAGCCAATTGTGTCAATGTTACATTGTGAAATGGGCAGTAACGTTTTCTTAACAAATAACAATCATTTCTCAACAATATTTCTGTTGGAGTGTTTCTCCAACTAACAGGGTAACACAGCGTCCGGCTGCTGGCAACGGTTTGTCAGGATGCAAGGTCGTCTCAACATGGAAACTTGTCTAAGTAAACAGACAAATCGTCTCTTCATCACAAATTCAAATCAAGGAGCAAGACAAAATATAATCAAACAAATTGTCATGTATAGTTAATGAAATTCACCTTAAACAATGACAAGTAATGATGAAAAACTTCATCACAATATATATACCACTCAACATTTGCTAAGGATCAATGCAGTCCACTTCAGTCATAGTTTGCAGCAAAAGCTGAGTAGTATACATATATCCTTTGCTCAAGAATCAGTTTTAATTCCTGGACTGGGTCTCAGTTTGTTGAACAGCACAGCCCTGAACTTGAAATATGGATCCTGAAGGGCACAAGGCTGCCTACAGGATCTAGTGACCTTGACCTTGACCCCAACTAATGACCTTGCCTTGTGAGCAGGTCTTGGCAACAGAGTACTGGCAACTAGAGAACTTTAATAATGGAGAATCTGTTACATGTAATACTTGGGAAAAAATAGTTCATTTCTCTTTAACATCCATTTAAAAAAGATTTGTCATTAAAATAGGATATCTGTACACAACTAACTGTTTTGAAAATGAAAGCACTTTTCTGCTATTTGATAAATAACTTACAAGAAAGACAACTTGCAGCATGCACAAAGTCAACATGTCGTACACCAGTTCAAAGGACTTGAACACAGTCAAGAGTTGACTCTGACGCCAACAAACCAACCCACTCACCTATTATGAGTGGGCGACACACTTTAACTTCAGTTTGAGAATATATCAACATAATTTACATCACCGAGCGAGCAAAATATACATATTTTATACATCACGATTCAAGTGACTACTCCGTAAGGCCACATAACTGCAGAGAGTTGCTGTTGCAAGAAATCCAACCGTGGCCATTTTTCGCTACCTTTGGATCAAGGAACACCCATCAAGTCTCTGCCCAGAATCTGACCTCCAACCTCTAAACAGGGTCACCTTACCTTTCCTTCCTTGCTGCTGAGGGCTGAATCTTAGATAACATTCAAGTAAGTCCAGCCATCTTCCAAAAGCTGCAGCCAAACATACAACTCCTACTCATCTGCAGTTATGTTTTAGTGTTTAACACCGACCAAGTTCAAAATGAAGAAAATATTTTCTTTGTCACACACTGTACACGATTATCACAAATCTTATGTTGGACCAAAAAAGAAACCAAAAGACATCTTACTCTTGAAAACAAATATTCTAGTTCAAAATACATCTGACTCTAAATGACAGCACTGCATGCTAACTTCAAGAGACGTTTATTGTTAATCTTAAGTAGCCGTGAAAACAGTTGCATGCAGGTTCCCAAAGGTCTCAAGAAAATACACAGTCTCACAATCTCTACTGCTAAGGATTATTTTGAAAATAGTAAATTTTTGTCCAAACACGAGACAATCAAGATATTTGTGATTGGAGAAGAAGACTTATATTATGGTTCGGTCAGTATTTAGTCTAAAAGGAGCAGTCACATGCATTAAAGAAATGCAAGCTCTTGTCTAAAAAGTGATCATGGCCAAACATGGCCAGACAAGCCTCAAGCTGATGGCTATTCTTAAACATTTTGTGGAGTTAACAACTAGTATCACCTGCCAAACACAGGGCAGGCATAGTCCAAGGGCAGTTAACTCTGTCAACACTGATCAGGAGTTGTCTGCTCTTGAGAAATCCCACCAAGGGTTCTTAACCAAGTTACAAGTCCATACACTGCCTTCTGTTGTGACTGCTCTTGTATAGCTTGACTGAAGTAACAAACTCTATAGACTATATCTCTGATGACTTCAAAACAGACACGATATGACGCGAAAAAGGTCCAACGGTCTACTCACAGGTAATGTTGATTAAGTACCTGCACCAAGTTGGTCATCTGGTTTCCATGGTAACCATGGTAACAGATCACATTACTAACAGCTGAAATTGTGGCACAAGATTTATGGATCAAATCCTGTGTTATTTCTCACCCCTAAAAAACAAAGTGGTATGTTCCCACTTTAAGGGGGAACCGTACCATTTGGAAAAATGGGGGGTGTCCTGTGTTATAACAAATATATATTACTATGTATACATAACAGAAATCTACTTTTGTTGGAATAGTTTGTCTAAAGTGCACTCTAAGCTTGGACAACAGTGGACATGTTTCTACAATTACTATTACAGATACACAGTGTGAATTAGCATTCAAAACAAATACATTTAAACCTTAAAATATCCAAACCAGAGGAGCCTGGTGAGAGAAAAAAGAATTTTTTTCGAAAATGTAGTCAGAAAATTGGAAATTTGTAAACAGTGCAATAGTATACTTTGGAAAAAATGTCAAAATTGAAATTCCACGAAGAATGAACATGAGTTGTTTTCAATGTGTCACAAAAACAATTGGGTAAAGTAAAAGACTACTGACAAAATGACATCATTTACTGCAGATAGAAACCGTCAGGAACTATGTCACTATAGATAAGCTTATTTTCACAATAAGCAAAACTAGCAACTAAAATTCCAAGTAAAACGTCCCAAATTTTGAAATGGGGCGTGGTATATGATCAACAGCCATCCACCCTCCTGGGGCGATAGGTATAAAATTGAATGCAAAAATAGTATTTGTAAAAGTAGAAAAAAATACTTTGTGAAAATAAGATTATCTAGAGTTGAGATACACCATGTCAAGAAGAACAGCAAATAACATGTTGAAATAAACCTACTGTTACACAGGTACAAAGTTAGGCTGATTTCCACTGACTAGAGCTTTAGTATACATATACACAAATATATATATTTATATATAGACATATAGTCATACTTGTCATCCATAGTTATTATTTCGGTCCATCGATTGGAGAATCTTCAATGCTCCATTTCAAGACCTAAAAATATCTCTCTGGAAAACAATAACCAAACAACCAGGTATCGGTTTTCAAAGTTAACAACCGACAACTTTCTTATTTACAAGCCAATGTCTGGCTTCCTTGATCTTTTTCCCCGTCACGATTTTTGAATCGAGTCACATCTGCTTTTCCTGTTTGCTCTGCTTCGTGATGCGACCCTCCAAATAGCACTTTCAGAGATGAGGACTGCCTTAGAAAAGTATCGAGACAGAATGGCGAGCTAGCTTGTGGTAGACGTGTTTCCATGGCTGCAGTCGTATGACGTACAAATCAGGATAATGAATGTGCCATTTGCTGATTGCCACTTCCTCCGATGAAGAATAACTGTGTCAAATTTTCGGATGCAGCTGCTGAAACGATCGTGTGAGATGAAACAGCTGAAGTGATGATTTCTCTGTGCGAATGTCTTCAGTTCCATCATCCTTTTAAATGATGGCCTCCGAGGTCACCACGGTAAAAGAATACAAAAATCTACATGATTGTCTTCATCTAACTTGGTTCAATTTTTCACAACAAAGATTGACCAGTGATGGTAAATCTACTCGACGAAGAAGAAGGTTGTGTGCGTAAACGACATGGAACACGAGACGTACGCCAGTAGGTGGCAGCACAAGTGGGCAAGTAGTCGTCAGGGAAGGCTCATCAATTGTTTCATCACCTCATCGGTCAGCGGAGGCAGGAGCTAGATGTTGACAAATGCAAAGAGTCGAGTGGTGTCTGTGGCAATCTTTTCCTGTCACAGACTCAAGACACATGGACAGTGGCAGTGAAACAAAACACAAAGTATAGACAACAGCGACCTTGTTGAAATGACGCAGTGGACACAGGCAGGGAGGGAGGAGGGCGCAGTCTTTGACACTGTGATGACGGCACATGGAGGTTGCTGTAAGTACAACATCAGGTGCTATGCCATGGCCAAGCACTGTGGTTCTACGATGTTGGGTTCTAGCAGAAATGGCATCTGGCCACTGCGTCTGCCACTGGCGGCCATCTTGTCTGGGAGGCTCCCCTGTCAACTACAATCCTGTTAGGACAGGCTGCTACTTCTAGGTCCCTTCTTCCATTGGCTCTGATTCTTGCTGCTCCACAGAACTAGAGGAAAATAAACAAGGAAACTATACCAAACCCCGTTTGAATCAGAAATGTTAAATGTACACTGAAGAAAAAACGTTTCTGATCATGAGTATAATACTGACAAATTCATGTAATCAACTTTTATTTTGCAAGTGTGACGTTTCGGTACAGTTCTTGTACCATTGTCATTCCTGCTTGACAACAGTACAAGAACCTGTTACGAAATGTCACACGTCAAATACAAGACCTTGTTATCAATAAATTTGTCAGTATGTACTTCCCTACTAAAATGCCAATCAAAGAAGTGATCATGAACAATTTGTGTGTGATATTTTCATGACACTGAATGCTCACTTTTCACTTAAGTATACAATAATTTCTCTGATCATACAGAACATGAGGTTGATTTGAATATTCATGAATTAAATGTCCCCTTACATGTGAAAATAGCAGTCTTGTTTGAGCATGAAGTGCCAGGGTTGGATATCACTTTAAGCGCCCATATTTTAGCAGGGGTCAATGACCAAGCCCTATGGCAATATGAAGCACATACCTGTTTTTACTTGGGACCATGGAGAGTGATGCAAGGGCAGTAACTGTGTCCGCTTCCTCCATCTCCCGCTTCTGTGCCTCCATCAGGGAGTAGCTTATTGTTCCCAAATACCGTTTGATGCAGGGCCAGTGCTCCACTGTAAGTAAACACAATCTGTCAGTGGATGGGGTGGATAAGCAGATGGGTGGATTGGTTGACTCGTGGAATCGGTCAACATGTGGTTTGAGTTTCTTATGCAGTTGATTAATTTTATGGTCATTGACACACTGACTCACAGCGACCAGTGAAGATCCAGGGTAGAATAGGTCAACCCATGTGCTTGCCATAAAAGGCAACTATGCTTGTCGTAAGAGGCGACTAACGGGATCGGGTGGTCAGTTTCGCTGACTTGGTTGACACATGTCATCGGTTCCCAATTGCGCAGATCGATGCTCATGCTGTTGATCAGTGGATTGTCTGGTCCAGACTCGATTATTTACAGACCGCCGCCATATAGCTGGGATATTGCTGTGTGCGGCATAACACAAAACTCACTCACTCACTCACCGCAGCCAAAGGCGATACATTTCATTTTCCCATCTATTTAATTGGTCTGTAAAAATGTTAAAAAATTATTTAAACCCCCTAAATACACAAATGCAAGGTTCAATCTCAGGTCTCTGCAAACATCCAACACACAGAACAAGCCCTCTGACAGAAGGGAGTGTCTGTCACTGTTATCAGTTAATATTTCCCTGGTGTCTCCACTTGGTGACGTGAAAGAGGGGTCATGATTATTGCACCTGTGACACCTGAGCTGTATTGTTATTCTTGTTTTCTCAGCCAGGGAAACAAGTGACATCTTTTACATCATTTTGTAAGATGCGTCCGGGGACCTTCTGGGTCCGATCTACAAAGCGTTTGTAGTGTTAACTATACACACAGGGGCGGATACAGCTTTTTGAGAATGGGGGGTGCACACTATTGAGAAAAAGGGTGCACACTTCATTTCCACCCAAGTTTCAATGGTTATTTAACAAACTTTCTGGACAAAAGGGGGGGTGCGCACCCCTGCACACCCCCTCTGGATCCGCTTATGACACATGTAGTTTATCATAGGATTACAAATGACGTAGCGCTACGAATGCTTTGTGGATTGGGACCTAGCTCTCCTAGCAGATGCCCTGTCTACTAAATAATGGTTGGTGATTTGAAATGTGTCAGTGAAAACAGTAGGTCAGTTACAGATTACAACTGATGAGTCCTTACTCTGTATTCGGATGGTGGATTCCAAGGTCTCCAACGCAGGTTTACAGCTCGGCCGATGGAGTTCTTCATCCTTGATTGAAGGTAGCTGAATCGCAAGAGTCATGTGACTTTACATACCAAGTTATAGTGTCACAATTCGCACCAATCAAAACCTGAGATGAGAGAGATTACTGTTTGACACTACAGTCAGTTAGAGATGCACTTAAATTCCAAAGGGAGGCAATCATAGCATATTGAGGGACAACAAGCAGGAATCCCTAAGGATACAAGGTGAGGTGAGGTGAAATTGGGTTTAACGTCTTGCTTGAGAATATTTCGCTCATATGACGACGTGCAGGCGTGTGTATGTGTATTTGTATGTGCGGCTGCTTGTACTAGCCCAGACTGAAGCTGGTTTATAGTGCTAGCCCACTGAGATACCATGCTGCAGTGAAGCATGAATACCCCTCTCAGACACATTATACTGACTCCGAGCCGACCAGTCCTTGCTTTCCCCTTTAATGCCAAGCGCCAGGCAGGGACCAACAAGTACCATATTTTAACGTCTTTTGGTATGACAGGGTCGGGGATCGAACCTGCGACCTTCCGCGCTCCAGGCGGACGCTTTAACCACTACACCACGTAGACGGTTAAGGATACAAGGGTATTGAGTTCTCACCTCGTCCCCAAGAAGAGCCTTGACACACATCTCTGAAGCCTCCGAGATGACCGGAATATCATAGCCTCCCTCCAGTGCCAGCACGACCTTCCCACCCGAAAGCGACATCAGCTCACGGGTCATGTGACCAAAAGCTGAAACAGAATCCAATTCGTGTAAGACTCTATGAAGAGGTACCCTCTATATGAACTGAGCCAGAATAAATATGATTACGTCTGTTCCTCTCAAAATGCAAGTCACACTGATTGAAAAGCCACAGCACCAAACAATATTCAAGTGAGTTCTTTAAGGAACAAAGTACGGTGACCGTAATGGACACTCACCTTCAGCTGTGACCTCATACCCTCCCAGCGGAGCTGTATGTCCCTTGGCCGCGTCAAAACCAGCAGACACGAGAACCATATCGGGACCAAACTCACGGGCAATTGGCATCACGATTGTTCTGTCAAAATAAAAACAACTCCTTCAGACTCTCTCCAGCCCACAAAGGGTAGCTTGCGTTCATCATCACTTTGAGCGAGTTTGGTTTGATGCCGCTTTTGGCAAGATTCCATCCATCCATCCATTCCACCAGAAATGGGCTTCACTCATTTTAATCATGTGGGGAATCGAACTAGGGTCTTTGGTGTGGAGAGCGAACGCTTTCACCACTAGGCTACCCCACCGCCCCTCATCACTTTGAACACGTGTCATCAACATTAGGTCGTCAAGATACTTAGAATGAGTGTCACATGTTGCAGGCATGAATCAAACCCAGGTGTTCAGGGCACGTGCAACCAGTGTATCTGCTGGACTGCCTCGCTACCAAACTGGTGTTGTATAAAACGTGTTCCACATGTGCAAAGATTTACTGAACATTACTTTAAATTAGATATTTAAGATTAGTAAGTAAATCTAACATCAGTGAGTTCCTTTATTTACAATATTACAATATTAAAGCATTACTCCAACAGCAGAGGACACAACTGATTTACAAGAACTGGTTTTATTTTTGGGGAAGGAATTGAACCAAGGTCCTCAAGTGAGTAAGTTCAGTTATATGCTGCTTTTAGCAATATTCCAGCAATATCACGGCGGGAACACAAGAAATGTGGTCTTCAAAGTGAACACTGCCCACAAAGCTACACAGATGATAACACAACTGATTTCAAAGAATGGGTTTCATGTTTTCATGGAGAGTATTTAACCCAGGTCTTCAATACACTGTACCCACAAGGCTACACAGATGATAACACAACTGATTTCAAAGAATGGGTTTCATGTTTTCATGGAGGGTATTTAACCCAGGTCTTCAAGGTGAACACTGTCCCCACAAGGCTACACAGATGATAACACAACTGATTTCAAAGAATGGGTTTCATGTTTTCATGGCGGGTATTTAACCCAGGTCTTCAAAGTGAACACTGTGCCCACAAGGCTAAACAGATGATAACACAACTGATTTCAAAGCATGGGTTTCATGTTTTCATGGAGGGTATTTAACCCAGGTCTTCAAAGTGAACACTGTGCCCACAAGGCTAAACAGATGATAACACAACTGATTTCAAAGCATGGGTTTCATGTTTTCATGGAGGGTATTTAACCCAGGTCTTCAAGGTGAACACTGTACCCACAAGGCTACACAGAAGAGGATAAACTGATTTTCAAAACTGTGTTTCATAACTTCAACAATGGGAAGAGAACCCAGGTCTCCAAAGTGAACACTGTGCCCATTCGCAGTGTTTAAAACTCCCAAAATTCCAAGCCAGACAGACGAACTGGTAACCTTAAAAAATTACCAGTCCGGATGAAAACTTGCCTGTCCCGTTTTTTCAACAATAAACTTAAATTACACGTGTTGTGATCGGTTGTCATAACATGAACTGTCCAATCGTAAGTAGTTTAACATAATTTTTATAATACCTCAAACACCTCAAACTGACGACAAGAGAACCTGTCTGATATTATGAAATATTGAACGATAGGGGTAAAAATATCTACCAGACCACCGGACAGGCCACTTTTGAAATTTGACTGTCCGAGATGAAGCTAAACCATTCCGGACGGTCGCAGGTGGGAATTTTAAACACTACCATTAGTGTACTCCACCGCAACCCTCGTCCATCAATCCCGGCAACACTACTGACCTGAACGCAGTCAGATATTCAGCATCAGCCATGGGTGGGTTCAGAGCTCCTCCAAACGCGATGTTGACATTGAAGCCGAGCCCCTCATCACTTCCGCACTCTTCAGGTGCTCCCGTACCAGGAAAGAAGTTGCCGCTGTCATGGCGATGAATAGATATGTACAACACATGGTTATCCATGTAGAACATTTGCTGGGTGCCGTTACCATGGTGAACATCCTGAAAGAACCAATGTCATTTCCATGTCACATAACAATCATTATATGAATCCATAGATAAAATATTGATAAATATTTAATAAAATATTAAGGCGGAATATTGGGTTTTTTTTTTACTCAAATAATACCTTCAAATACTCTCATTGACAGACATTTTCAGTTATCTCCCTTTGGCTACAAGATGAAAACACAGTGACGTGTTTAGGGTGAATTGTCTCCCTTTGACAACTATTATATTCAGAGATGATTGACATAATTACAGCCATACTACAGGGAATAGAACCCATGAGTTGTGTGTCACATGTGCTGGCACTATCCACTGAGAACTTCCAGTCAAGGGCAATACATACCCAGTCAATGATGAGAATCTTCTCTAGTTTTGCCTTTTCTTGTAACTGTTTGGCCGCTATTGCAATTGAGTTGAAAAAAACAGAAACCCCTGGAAAGAAACATCAAACCTTTTTCACATGTACAAGACTTCAGTATGAGAATACTCAGGTCTGCTGAGCCTAGGAGCAGTGTTGGGCCCAACTATCACATCACAACTAAAACTATACTACAGCAAACTGTACATAGCCATCAGTCATAGCAGACAAACTGAACAGACACTCGGTACTCTCCCACATCCCAACTACCATCCAATCCTCATTAATCTGGGTCCCGATTCGTAACTTTACGACCTGTCATAACTCTACAGTTTACTGTAGGTTTTGAGTGAGTGAGTGAGTAAGTGAGTATGGTTTTATGCTGCTTTTAGCAATATTCCAGCAATATCACGGCGGGGGGACACCAGAAATGGGCTTCATGCATTGTCCCTATGTGGGAATGGAACCCAAGTCTTAGGAGTGACAAGCAAATGCTTTAACCCCTAGCCTACCCCACCGCCCCTGTAGGCTTATGAATGTCGTAGCAGTACAAACGCTTTGTGGATCAGGACCCAGAATCTTAAGAAATTAACGCGGTGCTGTGGGAGTTATTCTGCCCTGGCATCTTCACTGGAGAAAAGAATCATTACCATTCTACCTTTTCATTATCATCCCAATGCTATAACATGGAGTAGAATCACAGTACACAGTTAGGTTAACTTGAACAAGAGTGTTAGGTGAGTGGACACTGCTACAGCTTGCACCTGCTGCTGTCTACTACTTACATGGCTTGGTGGGCCTCTGCATGGTGACCAGGAGGACGCACGATGGCGTAGCCATTCTGAAACAAACAAGCAAGCATTAGCATAACCATACTGCATCATTATAAGTGTGTGAGTTTAGTTTTACGCTGCACTCAGCAATATTCCAGCTATATGGCAGCGGTCTATATATAATCGAGTCTGGACAAGACAATCCAGTGATCAACAGCATGAGCATCGGTCTATGCAACTGGTAACCGATGACATGTGTCAACCGAGCCTGACCACCCGATCCCGTTAGTCGCCTCTTACGACATGCATGGGTTACTGAAGATCAATTCTAACCCGGACCTTCATGGGTTGCATCATTATGAGGTAACCAAACACTCTGGTTCTAAATTTCTCAAAACTGAATGCCCTCTGGAGGAATACTGCTGCAATATTTCTGGGTGGTTGGGCAGCCTAGTGGTTAAAGTGTTGGTTCCCGAGGCCAAAGAACCCATGAAGATCAGGATTAGAATTGATCTTCAGCAACCCATGCTTGCCATAAGAGACGACCAACGGGATTGGATGGTCAGGCTCACTGACTTGGTTGACACGTCATCGTATTCCCATTGCGTAGATTGATGCTCATGATGTTGATCACTGGATTGTCTGGTGCACACTGATTAAAACTCTAGTCCTTCAACACAGACTTACAACAATAACTGTGCTAAGGTCACTTCAAGTATAAGTGCATCCTGGAGAATGCCGTACTACATCACCATTAACCTATGCCTAAAATAGTCAAAATATTTGCTAATGTTTTCTGACATTCAAAGTGAATATAATTATTTTAAGCATGACAACATTACATGATGAAATCATGTAAATGTATATCATCCAAAATAAATAGACACCTTATTCATTAATCAAAGAATGAATTATAGAGATGTGATTACCATGGCAACAAGGCTTAACAGCTGCAGATAATGACACTTGGATTCAGCCCTGTCTACATCACTTACATAATGTGCATTTAATTGATTTTTGGAAACAATCCCATTTAAGAAAACATCAGAAAGATATTGACTACCTGCAGAGATGGTCTTATATTGACTATTAACCTATTAACCACTCACTATATACTGGTTGTAAATCCTGACCAACATTCAACAAACAATCACTTCTATCTCAAATAATAAGTAATTCAGTAAACAACAGTCCGCTAGTTGTATTTTGGAGAAAGTTTGGGGGGTTTGCAGGAAGAGTTTGTGTTAAATCAAATTGTATCAGCTAAATCTTGGAATAGCACACCCGATAGTAGACATAAACCAATCAAGCTATATACCAGCGGTCAGGGACTGATCTACGCAATTGGGATATGATGACATGTGTCAACAAAGTCAGCTGACCCGCCAAAGAACAGCTGTTTAAGTTAACTATTTCAGAGATGCCAACCCTGAATCAAATGAAAGTGGAGTAATGCCTAGCTAAAAGCAATTCCTGAGCCGTGACGGTGTGAGTTGGGGGTGAGCGTGAGAGAGGGCTTGGGCCCCTTTTGGCGGTGGGGGTCTGGGGGGCCTCCCCTATGAAAATCTTTAGATTTAGCTTGGAAATATGCAATTTCTGGGAATACTTAACCAGATAATTCTTAACTCAAATGAACATATTTACTAAAATTCTTTCATACATTCTAAATTAATAAACATATTTGTATTTTCTAAAAAATCGGAGTTTTTTATAGACAAATGTCAGTGTGGATTTGGTTTTGAAAATCGGATTAACTCCTCCAAATCTCTGCTATTTAAGAAACCTGGAAAAAGATTGTTTCCTTTTCTTTTGGAATAGCTACAAAATACTTATTTCCAGCTTGGGTGGATTAGAAGCCAGTGTTTACTGAAGCCAAGATTACAACATAAATGCCTCTGTTGTATGGAAACCAATTACTCTCCTGGCCAGAAACAACATGTAAAGCGCACCAAAAGGCTCGCATTAGACCCCTCTGTTCGTATTTCAGAATAAGTATATTTGTTTACAAACATAGGCAAAGTCTGGTCACATGACAGCCAACATCATGGTGTGGTTATGAGCAGACACTTCCCTTGTCGAATAAGCAGAGCAGAGCTGTGTAAACTCAGCGTTCATCAGCTCATTTGCAAACATTGCTTCAGAATGGTCAACAACCAGGCCCCTCAAACCAGTGGTTCATGTATCTTTATTCACTATTGAAATCCTCACAGCCATATAATCTTAACCCACATATATTAGTTCTTTATTAGAATTTTAACTGTGCACTCCAACACCCTGCCCTTATCAACAATACATGTGTCATACTGTCTAACTGTGCACTCCAACACCCTGCCCTTATCAACAATACATGTGTCATACTGTCTATCGCGACACTCGCTGTAAAAAGCATACTCATTCTACAATAACAAAAAAAGGGAAAGAAATTATCTGTTGTTCAATTGGATGAGTTCGTTTTTTGTTCAATTGTATCCAAAAACTAAAACTGACAATGAAGAAAAATACTCCGTAAAATGTCAACCAGTTAATCTAATGTCATTACAACTAATACAGACAGCCCAGGTCAAAATGTCAAATGACATGATATTTGCTTCAAACCTTTAACTGATGCAATCACGGCAATCACTTTTGACAAAACTTCAAATCATGTCTACAAACACAATATCAAAATCAATGAAAACCAGGCTATATATTTTATGCAATTTGACGTGAGTAAACAGTGAAAAGTAGCACGTGACGCTTCATCACTCGCCTGATTTTAAATTCATTGTATCAACATCCATCAAACTGCAGGACTTAAGGTTAAACAAGCATCAAACCCCATGTCATATCTTGTTCCACAAATGGGGCAGTGGGGTAGCCCAGTGGTTAAAGCGTTGGCTCGACACGCCGAAGACCCGGGTTCGAATCCCCACATGGGTACAATGTGTGAAACCCATTTCTTTTGTCCGGCGCCGTGATATTGCTGGAATATTGCTAAAAGCGACGTAAAACCAAACTCACTCACTCACTATTGTTCCACCAACAAACGAACATGTTCACTCCAGAACAAACTGCACAATGACGGATTCAGAAAGAGAAGAGAATCACAAAGAGTTGAAGATGGCATTTCAAAAATGGCCATGATATTAACCACGTCTATCATTTGCAATTCTGAGATCCAAACTTACCATAATAATTCCTACAAAACATACATAATGCTATGAAAACATGTGGCTCGGGAGGCAGTTTTGAAAATTTCAACCTAATAGTTACATGTACATAAATGAAGGCCAGAGCTCATGAATGGGATAAACCAAGATAAACAATGTAGTTCTATCAGTACATATGACATACATGAGGCACCATAATATTCTGTCTTCTCTGTAAATGCCATTATGCACTTAAACCAACTCTCACTGAAATAGCTCAAGAAGTTAAATGTTGGATGTTACCATATCTGATGCTCTCTCGGGAGATAATAAATATATATCTATCTGATTTACAATACAGTATGGGAATATGTTATTCTGAAAATGTTCCAGAATATAGAATTCACTTCTAATTGTATTGTAATATTTACTTTATTCCTCAATTCTTCATAACTCAAATCTATTTCTAGATTCAGTTAAACACTTTCACAGCAATTGACATTTTAGTAAAGCAAGACATAAACAATGCAGGCCTATCTGACAAGATCTGAAGTAGACTAGCATTTAGACCCAGAAATAATGTAATTCTAACGAAAACATAGATATTTCTAAATTATATCATAAAATCCATATGCCAGAATGCTTTACTTCAGGAACTGAGGTAAGCTAGGTCACATCTTCCTAGCTTGAGTCTTCTAAGTGAGTGAGCGAGTTTAGTTTTACGCTGCTTTTAGCAATATTCCAGAAATATCATGGCGGACACCAGAAATGGGCTTAACACATTGTACCCATGTGGGGAATCGAACCTGTGTCTTTGACGTTACGAGCGAACGCTTAACCGCTAGGCTACCCCGCCGCCCCAGACCATTGTTGAAGCACAATCTGGTGATTGTTGTAGCCTGGAGTTGTTACTGGAAGAAGCTAGAAGTCGATCCTGACTAAAACTTGTATCTGTTGTCCTCCCTCGGGAAGGACATAATGTCTACTGTCGCCCATGCCATTCTCTAACGACAGAGGGGGCGGTGGGGTAGCCTAGTGGTTAAAGCGTTCGCTCGTCATGCCGAAGACCCGGGTTCGATTCCCCAAATGGGTACAACTTGTGAAGCCCATTTCTGGTGTCGCCCGCCGTGATATTGCTGGAATATTGCTAAAAACAGCGTAAAACCATACTCAGCCAGCAGTCTAACGATAGAGATATTCTCAAACAATCACCACAATTTCAGGCCATTTGCAGTGGTTATAAAAAAGCGTGGTTATGAAAAAATGTTGATGTAACATTCATAGATTCACAGAACACATCCTTTACAAATATACACTGAAGTTATGAATTTAGAGATCAAAAACATTTTGACATTATTATTATTATTGTCCATATTTCACCAACAAATTGTATCTCCAAATTATCCATGTTCCCTAACGAGTTTATTTCAGTATACATTACAGGCTTTATTTCTTCTTGGTCCTCAGATTTTTTTTAAAGAATTCATTTTTTTTATCAGATGGGTGCCAAACTGCCCATGATCTTGATTGTGGCATTGCACATTTTAAAATAACAAAGGCTGTCTGACTGACTTACCTTGAGATCACCAGCAGCCACACGAAGTGCCAACTCTATCACACAACCTGTTGCCTGGTAACAGAATTAAATAACACATCAACATTCATTAAAAGAACTAAGTGGTTTATGTAGTTATTTTCATCAAAGGTTTTGATTAAGATGTGTACCCAATATTTTAAAGCATAACCAATATATGAAATGAACAATATTACAACAAATCCTCACTCTAAAGTGCCCCAGCTTTGAGACAACTTCAAGGCTTAGCCAAATCTGCAGTTATAGAAAACTGGATTTAATCCTTAGCTAACCCAAATCACGAGTTCTACTGAATGAGTGAGTATGGATTCATGCTGCCTTTGGCAATATTCCAACCATATAATGCTGGCATTAACCAGTAAAAGACTTCTAACAATCTAACCAAGTGGGGAATCGAACCCAGGATTTTGTCATGACAAGCATTAAATTACCCTACTGCCCTCAAATTGTCTCACTGAGCAGTTAACATTTCTCAGATTTCACAGACATAATTCTCAAGTTCCATTATAGCAGTAATTTGAGTCGAGGCCCAGACTGGATACAATAGAGTTTTGTCCTTTGACGATATCAACAGTAATGAATTAAGATTTTTTTCAGTAGCTCTTGAGTGTCTTAATCTGTGTTTTGTTGTAAATGACACGTACAACTATTTATACAAAGCACAGACTGCGAGTATCTGCAATGAGAGACAGTCTTACATCTCAGAGGATGAATGTAATACAAGTCTTGCGCAAACAATCCTGGTCCTACGTCCCTATGACACGCCAGACTACACAATCTAAAAACTATCATCCCTTTAAAATTAAATAGTCAAGAATATTATGCACAGACTCAAATCTATTTACATCCATAAATACACACTCTGTGTTCAGAATTATGATGTTCATATATTTCTGTCATATACTATTCACACATTGCTAAGGATCAAATCATGGATTCAACAGAAAACTATGATGTGGGGTCAAATTTGGTTTTAGAATGCCTTTACCCCTATCAAAAGTTTTGTATTCGTTCGTATTCTCCTTTAAATATCTAAGCTTGTTGTTAGCATGGATGCCTGCTTTCAGTATGTCATTGCATCTTGTTGATCTCATACCTGCTATTGACAGGTCTTGTTTATTTGTCAATGACTCGTTCCATGATTTGCAAAATGGTTGATTGGTGCCATGAAAACCATTTTTATGGTTATTCATGTATCAAGTGCATAAGGTTAGATTAAAGTGGTTGTTTGCCTAAAGAGGGGTTACCATATCATTATCTATCCAGCTTTAAATGGATACAATTTCAAATTAAAATATATGTTTAAGTAAAGTTGTGAATTTTTGTGATTCTTATCAAAGTGTGAGTAGTATATAACATTTTTTAATAAATTCAACTGTAATTTGATTCCAGGCTTCCATGTTTAAACATGTAGACTAAAAATATATTTAACTATATCTCCTTCCAAAGCAAATCCTTCAAAATAAACAGATAAGATATCAAATGATTTTACTTCACAACATTTGTGACAACAAATAGACTTTGAATACCATTTCGAACACAAACAGACCAGCAAGGACAAATTTAATAGATTTACAACTCAGAATTAAATTAAACAAGTTTCAGATATTTGCAAGACATATTAGTTCAGGCCACAACAAAAGAAGGATCTGATTGTTTTCACAATTTTAAAAAAATACTACAGACGTCTAAAAAATGTTAACAGGATTTTAGTTTTGACATGAAGCTTGTGAATTCAACATGTCCACATTTGCAAATATACACACATCTGACAAATGGAAAGTGATTGCAAGAATTATTAATGATATCCTTTTTTCTTGTTCCTCAGCCAGGTTGAGAGGATATTTTGTTTCCTGGCTTTGGTTTCCAGGCAACAGCAGGATTAAGTTCCACAGCTGAACACACATATTTGATCCAAAACTACAAATTACCAATACAGGGAAGACAGCATTGATTCTGAAGAACAAAAAACGATGTGGCCTCGAGGTAGTTAACTTACCGTTTTGGCGGCATTTGATGTATTAAGATCATTCCAGACAGTATCAGAATCCACGCCAACGCCTCCACATGGCAAGAGACAGAATCGCATGGGAGATGACTCTACAAAGAACGAAACATTTGTGAGTGAGTGAGTTGGGTTTAATACCATATTCATTTAGTGAGTTTGTTTTTTCATTTTGCTCCAGAAAATTTGTTAAAAAACGGAAATAAAAGGTATGTAGGGTCCTCTATGTACGAGTGTCACATACCCACGTTTAAGTTTGGAAGTTGTGACCGTCTTGCAGAAAAGGTGCTTGGTAGAAAATATTGAAGTTGAACTTACCTAACAATTTCTGTCTACTGAGTGGATTTGTTCCGTAAACTAGTGTGTGGAGATGAGTATGGCAGCTCTGCAGCTCTTCCGTACTCGCCTTCCGAGACCGCACTCTCTGTAAACACGCAACCAATCAAAATGTTACATCTACATAAACTAGACAGTCATTCACAAGTGACCAAAAAAATGGGTCACAGGCAGCAGTTTCTTTGGAGTATTACTGCTGCCACTGTAGAGTGAGTGAGTGAGTGAAGGGAGGAGGGAGGGAGCGTTTGGTGAGTGAGTGAGTGAGTGAGTGGGTGAGAGGGAAGGGGGGAAAAAGACAGTGTTCGGTGAGCGAGTCAGTGACTGAGGGACTGAGTGAGTGAGTGAGTTTAGTTTTATGCTGCACTCAGCAATATTCCAGCTATATGGTGGCGGTCTGTAAATAATCAAGTTTGGACCAGACAATCCAGGGATCAACAGCATGAACATTGATCTACGCACTTGGGATACAATGACATGTGTCAACCAAGTCAGCAAGCCTGACCACCCAAACCCGTTAGTCGCCTCTTACAACAAGCATGGGGTACTGAAGATCAGGGCCTAGATTTTCAAAGCTCTCTTAGAGCTAAGATAGTCGTAAGTTAATGTTAATGTATGGCACTTATGGGCCAGACAATCCAGTGATCAACATCATGAGCATCGATCTACTGTGAGGTCTCAGGCAACAATGCTTCTAACAACTCACTCAGGTGATATGATGTGTCACACCATACATACTACACACAAGTTAGCACATAAAATTGTGTGTTTTAATATACCCACCATCCTGAACTGATCAACTACAGTCACATGAGTGAGTGAGTGAGTGAGTGAGTGAGTTTAGTTTTACACCGATTTTAGCAATATTCCAGCAATATCACACCAGGGGACACCAGAAATGGGCTTCACACATTGTACCCATGTGGGGAATCAAATCCCGGTCTTCACCATGACGAGCGAATGCTTTATCCACTAGCCTACAGTAGTATATGTACAAGTGACAAAAATAAGCCGAGCCAGTTCAAGTGTTGCTTATAGACCAAGGCCTAGATTTTCGAAGCTGTCTTAGCCCTAAGATAGTCGTAAGTTAATGTTAATGTATAGCACTTACGACTATCTTAGTGCTAAGAGAGCTTCAAAAATCTAAGCCCTGGTTCCAAACTATTGCATTCATCAAAACAAATTCATCCCATGTTTTAAACGTTTTTGATGAGTGTTGAAATATTTGGTATCAAAAGACACATAAGTGAGAAACTTTGCTATTGCCAAAATCATTCTTCCAACTATCTCAGTTTGTAAACAGTAATGACCAATGTCCAGCATGTTAACAGTATAACTGACCAGTGGCAGAGAGATTAGTGATGTCATTTTATTATGATGTCATAATAACCAACATATCATGATGACTGTCTACAAAGCATTGTGATGCAATTCCACTGTTGCGAGTTTTGCTAGGGAAACCCATACAACAGTTTCTCTGAAAGCCGGTTTTGGATGACAAAACCCATCTATATACAGCAGGTTATTTTTTCACTCAAAATACTCTCAAATCGACAATTGGACTAAAGATACACAGCACCACAATTTCCATTTTGCATGAAAACCCTCAATTTCTCCCAGCGGACAGAAATAGAAACGCTCTTAATGATTCGGCGAAAGAAAAATAGTAGTGTCAAATATGTTTTTATTTCCAAGAACTGAATCTGCGGTCCAAAAAAAGAAAACCATTTTCAATTCAACCTAAGTCTGGATCATATTACCTGTTTCAGTCAACATATTTCTTGTTCACTAGAAACTCAAAAATACATTTAAGTGATACTGACCTTCCCAAACATTAATCAAATTACGACACTAGTAAATCAGTTTATGTTATCAATTAATGTCACAGCAGACTGACGATCTCCCACTGTAATTCTCTCTGTCTTTCCTTCAATTAATGCTGACATTTAATACTTAGTAGAGCCTCTCATTTCAGTTTCATGAAAATCAATCATGTTTCAGAGTTGCTGCATATGTTCTCCATAAATGTCACCATATATTACCCAAGAATTCCATATATCTGAACATGGTAATAAACACGCGAGGATGAAGCTGTGCAAGAGCTATGGATTCATCCCAGCTCCATCTTAATTGACATGATGGAGGCAGTGGAATGACTGTTAATAAGACGACACATTCAGATGCATGCTGGGCACATGATGCGAAAGTAGCTTAATGGCCTGTGTATCATCAAGTCTCTTATGACAATCTTTGAAAAAATATGCCATAGAGGAGTATCTTAAAATTGATCTAAATATTTTTTTAAATTATAGATTAATGAACTTTCTGCACATTGTTGATGAACAGATAAACTTTACTTTATTTTATGGTTTAGATCATTTGAATCATTTTGTCTAAAGCAGAAACAGGTTTTATCACCTTGGCTGTAATCTCGGCTTATGGGATTCTAAATCTAAAATTAATGATTAAAAAACAAATGTAAAACAAAAAGTAAAGATCATACAAGGATATTCCTACGTAGCCAGAATACTTTGTTCAAATCTACACACAGTGCAGTTAATAAACGCAATACAGCATCTAATATTTCCAACATTTAATGGTTGATTTCATCATGCAACCAAAAGGATTAAAAATATTCAGTTGTCATAAAACAAGGACTTTCTCAAGGAAAGGTAATGAAATTAATATTGTGTACTTTGTCGTGTAAAGATATTACTTGTAATGTAAACGTCGGTAATCCTGAGTACAGAATCTAGCAATCCCTGACACACAGTAACCGTGTTTACAGCCCAGCGTTACCCTGGCAAACCATCACAGGAGTACAGGGATAGGTTACTGCCACACCTGTAAGTATTACTGGACCTGTCTGTACTGGGAGGCGCTAACAGACACCCCCCAGCTGGATCATTGAGACTGTATACAGCATTACTGGTGAGTGAGTGAGTGAGTGAGTGAGTGAGTGAGTGAGTGAGTGAGTGAGTGAGTGAGTGAGTGAGTGAGTGAGTGAGTGAGTGAGTGAGTGAGTGAGTGAGTGAGTGAGTGAGTGAGTGAGTGAGTGAGTGAGTGAGTGAGTGAGTGAGTGAGTGAGTGAGTGAGTGGAGTTTTACGCTGCACTCAGCAATATTCCAGCTATATGGCGGCGGTGAGTGAGTGAGTGATTGTTGGTGGGTGGGTGAGCAAGCGTGCGAGCGAGGTAGTGAGTGAGCGAGCGAGTAAGTGATATATCCAACTTTCTCTTTCTCCTTCCTTCCTTCTAAGTGAGTGAGTGGGTGGCTGGGTGAGTGAGTGAGTCAGTGAGTGAGTGATGATGATTGGGTGGGCGAGTGAGTTAGTCAGTGAGTGGTTAGTTAGTGGTGGGTGGGTTAGTAGTGGGTAGGTTAGTGGTGGGTGGGTTAGTGGTGGGCGGGCGGGCGAGCGAGTGAGGTGGCGAGTGTTAAATCCAATTCACTCTTCCTCCTTCCTTCTTTCACTTTCTCTGAGTGAGTGAGTGGGTGAGTGAGTGGGAAGGAAGGAAGGAGAAAGAGCGAGAGTTGGATTTAACACTGCACAGCATCACAGGTGACATACTACTCCTACTGATGATATATATATCATCCAAGTATCTACTGAAATACAGAGCACCAAGTCTTGCCAAGGGGTTTCATATTGATCAACAAGTGTTGACGTGTATTATTCGAAAGGACACTAGACTCTACTTATCAAGCAACATCATTCTTCCAACTTCTTCAGTTGCTCGGAAACAAGCATTGTGCCGAATGTATAACATACACGTAACCACTATCACTAGCAGAAAGATTAGTGAAGACACAGTGCAGTCACTGAAACTGATCAAGTCATGTTAGTGAGTGAGTGAGTGAGTGAGTGAGTTAAGTTTTACGCTGCTTTTAGCAATATTCCAGCAATATCACGGCAGGGGACACCAGAAACTGGCTTCACACAATGTACCCATGTGGGGAATCGAACCCGGGCCTTCAGCGTGACGAGCGAACGCTTTATCCACTAGGCTACCCCACCGCTCCAATCTGCAAGAATATTTCTTTGCAGTGATATCCTCTTGGAAAGATTATTTAATATCTCCTGTGAAGGCCAGATCCTCCAAACAGCTCACAAAACTTTATGTCCCCTAAAGAAACCTATATACTTGAAGAATTTTCATTACTGTACAAAATCCTTGAAAACCCCAGCACATGAATGAAGGTGAGCGGTGCCGTCTCTCTTAAGCACTGTTTATAGCCTGAGTAAAAATACCAGTGCAAGCTATTCCTGAAACACCAGGAATTCATTTTATGATAAGCACTGCCTGCAGGTGAGAATTCTCCCTCCCGCCAATCTCGCACTGCCTGTGTGAGGTGGTGGCGACAACGATGGCGGCAGCGCCGTGTTGATTACATTGCCACCTGCAGCAGGAGTAACTGTAGCTACCCAAGGTTTATATAACTTTTACAAGTGTAGCCTAGCCTGCCTCCCGTGCTCACCTCCATCCCACAGTGGGCAAGATGAACCGGTGCATGGATAAACATATTATGTCCTGGCTACAAACACAATCTCAATTCCTGCCTCCAGTCCACCTATCAAATTGCTTCTACACAAAGGATGTAATCTAAAGGTGCTTCCTTGACTGATTTGGAAAGTCTAGCTAATTCTTCATAACTTTTGGTCAAATTGGTTTCATATGCAATCAAATTATTTAAAATAAATCAATTAAATCTGCATAATTTGGGAAAACAGAATTAAATCCAGATTATTCTACCCATATAATGATAAAATGTCTTGCATCACAATATGATATGTGATAAGATATACTTGATATGTATCTTGGATGCTAAATCAGTGTTATATGTGATATGATATACTTGGTATGTATCTTGGAGGCTAAATCACAGTATCATATGTGATATGACATACTTGATATGTATCTTGGAGGCTAAATCACAGTATTATATGTGATATGACATACTTGATATGTATCTTGGAGGCTAAATCACAGTATTATATGTGATATGACATACTTGATATGTATCTTGGAAGCTAAATCACAGTATTATATGTGATATGACATACTTGATATGCATCTTGGAGGCTAAATCACAGTATTATCTGTGATATGACATACTTGATATGTACCTTGGAGGCTAAATCAGTGTTATATATGATATGACATACTTGATATGTATCTTGGAGGCTAAATCACAGTATTATATGTGATATGATATACTTGATATGTATCTTGGAGGCTAAATCACAGTATTATATGTGATATGACATACTTGATATGTATCTTGGAGGCTAAATCACAGTGTTATATGTGATATGACATACTTGATACGTATCTTGGAGGCTAAATCACAGTATTATATGTGATATGATATGCTTGATATGTATCTTGGAGGCTAAATCAGTGTTATATGTGATATGACATACTTGATATGTATCTTGGAGGCTAAGTCAGTGTTATATGTGATATGACACACTTGATATGTATCTTGGTGTAAATGTCACAATATTATATATGATGTGATATACTTGATATGTATCTTGGTGTAAATGTCACAATATTATATATGATGTGATATACTTGATATGTATCTTGGTGTAAATATCACAATATTATATATGATGTGATATACTTGATATGTATCTTGGTGTAAATGTCACAATATTATATATGATGTGATATACTTGATATACTTGATATGCATCCAGTTACCATGTCAAAGGACATCACTGACTTCTCTGACTTCATCATTTCAATATCAAAACTAAGAGATAACGTTAACAATGAAATTGTTTCACAACGTTTTGGACATTACAGTTAATGCTGGTTACCATGTCAAAGGACATCACTGATCTCTCAACTTCACTCACACGGGGACACTGTCTATAACTGTTAACAACTGAAACAGCTAGATTGACTGACTGACTGAGTTTAGCCAACGCTTTAGCAAAATTCCAGCAACATCACAGGCAGTGGGACACGAAACAGCTAGAAGAATGAGGAGTGAAAAACAGCATCTCACCCTGCAGCAGCAAGCCTTGAGTGTTTTATTTCACTGACTTGTGTAGACACATTGACATTTTACTCAGGTAAGCAACTGTGTATCTTGGGGCTAAATTGACGATTTATAAAACGAACAAGCAAATAAGCTTATCATTCCACTATGTGTGAATGGTCATGTTGCCACATAATGATTAACCTGGACAACACACCAGTGTGCACTTTCTTTTCATTCTCAACTCCCTGGGGAGTGTACGACCCAAGCTTTCTGCGATGCACTAGTAAGTTAACCTTTTTCCGCCTCATCCTACCAGGTACCCATTCACTGCTGATATGAATCAGAATAAGCTTTCTGCATACAAAAGGTACCTACCTCACATCGTGTGACAAGTCCGGTGTCAGTGAGTCTTGCCCAGATGCTCTGTATTCTCCCAGCGTGTTCTAAGTGGTTCATGTTGTTGCCGCACGTACACTGGTGTTTCAACATTATCGTGTCGTACGCCAAACCTGGAAGCAAGTAAAATAAATACTGCACTCTGATTGGTTGATGAAGATGATGGAAAGCGTGATCTAGTGCAGGTTATTCACAGTGTATTACATTCAATGTTAAAAATCTACTCACATGTTTAATACTTTGTAGAACCCTATATCATATGTTCCTGACAGTAGGGCTGGCTAAAATGATCGATTATCAGAAATACCATTGATAGGAAAGATTATTAACGATTACTGACAAGAGAATTGTGCCATCGATAATAATGCACATAAACTGTTGTCATACATAGAATATACTTTTAATTTACTCACACAACACAGGTTAGGACTTCATTTATTGGCTGCTTCTAAGAGTGAGTGAGTGAGTTTACTTTTACGCTGCACTCAGCTATATGGCGGCGGTCTGTAAAAAATCGAGTCTGGACCAGACAATCCAGTGATCAACAGCATGAGCATCGATCTGCGTAATTGGGAACCGATGACATGTGTCAACCAAGTCAGCGAGCCTGACCACCTGATCCTCTTACGACAAGCATGGGTGACTGAAGGTTCATTCTAAGCCACACCTTCACGGGTTGCTGCTTCTAAGATATGTCAAGGATGCTGTTTGGTAAGTGTTCCATGAATAAACACGTCACCACTCAGCAGTGATGTGAATTATAGTAATTTCTTTCTGATTGTTTGGCATTTTTTCTCAAAGTTACTTTTCAGATACATATTTATCAAAAAGCGATCACTAATTAGTTAATGATTATCAATATCTGTGATCTATAGCCCTACCTGACAGACACAGGATTAAAAATCAGAACACTCTATAATACCACAGTCAGTGAGTGAGTTTAGTTTCACGCCACACTCAGCAATATTCCAGCAATATCACGGCAGGGGGACACCAGAAATGGGCTTCACTCGTCATATCCATGTGGGGAATTAAACCAGGGTCTTCGGCGTGACGAGCGAACGCTTTAACCACTAGGCCACCCCACTGCCCCTGATCAGTTTGAACATGGTCATCAATATTAGGGTGTCAATATCAGGTCGTCAAGATACTAAGAATGAGTGTACCATGTTGCCGGCAATGGGCTTCACAGATTGTACCCATGTGGAGAATCTAACCCTTGCGTGAGCCCTTTAACGATCCCACCGCCCCAAGCAACATTAAAGCTTTCTCATGATGTGTAGAATGTGTTTATATGTAACAAAAGCAATATTTCAGGAAATCACATCTAAGTCATCCGTGTATGATGACAAGAGCCTGGTCACATGCCCTTCGTTACAACCAGACTCACACACTGCCTGTGGTAGTCATTCTACCACAATCCATTCTACCCTGAAGCTGATTAACATACTATCACTCATTCTCTTTCCTAAACATACTGCTTTAGTGAGAGAAAAATAACATTTCAAAACACGATTCATTATGATACGAATTCAAGATCCTAGGAACAAATTGCTTGAAATACAATTTATGTTTACTTTAAAGGTGAAAGATGACAAATTGAGTTATTGCAATTTGACGACATTACCACAGCCATTGTGCCTTCCCACGAGATATTTTGACTCCTCTGACATTTGTTCCTGCAGACTGACTGGCTAATTAAATGGATCTATTTGACAGTCCTTCTAATTAGAGATCATTTCAGAGAGTCAGACTTTGACATTTCACAGATACACAAATAGCAAGTAACACAGTATATTGTCTTGGCATCTTGCTTGATCCTGTCTGTCTCGTCTGTTTCACAGTCCTGAACGATGTTAGTGTTCCCTTATGCCCAGCCCTTACTGTTGAGCTATAGCCCTAAGTGGAGTATGTTGTTGGGCCACTACACAGAGCTTGTTATCACCCACCTGTTGTAAATGTGTACGATACTGGCCAGATTTCTTGTTATCACCCACCTGTTGTAAATATGCATGATACTGGCCCGGTTTCTTGTTATCACCCACCTGTTGTAAATATGTACGATACTGGCCAGATTTCTTGTTATCACCCACCTGTTGTAAATGTGTACGATACTGGCCCAGTTTCTTGTTATCACCCACCTGTTGTGAATGTGTATGAGATTGACCAGTTTCTTGTTATCACCCACCTGTTGTAAATATGCATGACACTGGCCCAGTTTCTTGTTATCACCCACCTGTTGTAAATGTGTGACAATGGCTCAGTTTCTTGTTATCACCCACCTGTTGTAAATGTGTACGATACTGGCCCGGTTTCTTGTTATCACCCACCTGTTGTAAATGTGTACGATACTGGCCCGGTTTCTTGTTATCACCCACCTGTTGTAAATGTGTACGATACTGGCCCGGTTTCTTGTTATCACCCACCTGTTGTAAATGTAAAGGTGTATGAGACTGACCAGTTTCTTGTTATCACCCACCTGTTGTAAATGTGTATGACACTGGCCCACTTTCTTGTTATCACCCATCTGTTGTAAATGTGTATGAGACTGACCAGTTTCTTGTTATCACCCACCTGTTGTAACTTGTAAAGGTGTATGAGACTGCCCAGTTTCTTGTTATCACCCACCTGTTGTAAATGTGTATGACACTGGCCCACTTTCTTGTTATCACCCATCTGTTGTAAATGTGTACGATACCGGCCCGGTTTCTTGTTATCACCCACCTGTTGTGAATGTGTATGAGACTGACCAGTTTCTTGTTATCACCCACCTGTTGTAAATGTGTATGACACTGGCCCAGTTTCTTGTTATCACCCACTTGTTCTAAATGTGTATGACACTGGCCCAGTTTCTTGTTATCACCCACTTGTTCTAAGTGTATGACACTGGCCCAGTTTCTTTTTATCACCCACTTGTTGTAAATATGCATGACACTGGCTCAGTTTCTTGATAACATCCACCTGTTCTAAATGTGTATGAGATTGACCAGTTTCTTGTTATCACCCACCTGTTGTAAATGTGTATGACACTGGCCCAGTTTCTTGTTATCACCCACCTGTTGTAAATGTGTATGACACTGGCCCAGTTTCTTGTTATCACCCACTTGTTCTAAGTGTATGACACTGGCCCAGTTTCTTGTTATCACCCACCTGTTGTAAATATGCATGACACTGGCTCAGTTTCTTGATAACATCCACCTGTTCTAAATGTGTATGACAACGGCCCAGTTTCTTGTTATCACCCACCTGTTGTAAATGTGTATGAGACTGGCCCAGTTTCTTGAGGCTGTTGTGGGAGAACAGAGAAGGTGACGAGGGGACTGGACTGTGTTCAGACAAAGGGCGATGATGCGAGGGGCCCTTATGACGAGGCTTGATGATCTCCCTTTGCTGGCCCAGGAATGCTTCACGATCCCGCTGCTGTTTCTCCAATTCACTGGAACTTTCGTCCATCTTGCTGTCACTGACGATACTCTCAGCATCACGAGACTCCTTCATCTCCTGAAGATCGAAAAGTCAAACAAAGAGTGAGTGAGGGACCCCAGACAGGTAATCTCCGCCAGCCGAGTGCATCTGGTACAGAGGACCATGGTCCGGGATAAAATGACTGACATCGAACCATGACGACAGTTCTGATACAACATTAGTGTAAGGAGTTGCAACAAATTTCAATGACCGTTCTGGTGAACCAAATCACATTTTATAAATTATATTAACCCGGCAGAAAAATTAAAATGTATAATTACCTGTGCTAACTTGACCTCTGTTTCTTCATCCACATTTTCCATATGACTCTTACTGACGGTCCGTTGCAACACCGTTTGTCGTATATGCTGAAACAAAGACAGAGCGTTGATGTTGATGTACAATGGGGCTACACATCATGTTTAAGATTATTGTGCTTACATATCAGTGTGTTCATGTGTGTGAAGGTAGCTTCAAGGACTGATCTCAACACCATGTCACAGAAAAAATGAAATTATTATTCCACAAAAATCAACAAAGCTACAAGCTGATGATACTCTTATGCCACTTTTAGTAAGATTCCAGCAACAGTTTCAATAAACCACAAAAAGGGCTTCACGCACAGTGCCCATGTTAAGATCGAACTGGGCTCGTTAGTGTGACGAGTAAGCACTTACATCTCCAGGCTCCCTCACTAACCCAGGTCCTAAAGAGTCTAATAATTCTTTAAGGAAATGTACACATCCAGCTTAGCACTGGTCTACAACTCATGAGTGAGTGAATTTAGTTTTACGCCGCTTTTAGCTATATTCCAACAATATTCCAGCAATATTATGGCGTGGGGACACCATGCACCATGTAGGGGGACTCCAATCGAAAGCAAGCTTCGGCATGATGAGCCCCACAGCACTTTAACCGCCAAGGCTACTGACTTGGTAGATGGTTGTGAGCACACCCCAATTCATCTCATGAACACGATTTACTTTTATTTACAGATGGCTGTCATATCACTGTCTTTAAATGACAAACAAACTAACAGTGAAGCAACTCACCTGTTTTAAGTATAGTTTTGAGTTTTCCTTTATAAACTGATCATGCTGATGTTGTTGTAGTAGTTGTTGCTGCTGCTGAAACACGGGGTGGCCGAGAGGGAGGGGAGCTGAGTGGGTGCGGCCCAGTGGCCGATGTCTGTAAACAACAGTAACATTACATAATAATAATAATATATAGAGATTCATATAGCGCCAATATCCAGATGAGTCTTGCTCAAAGGCGCTTCCGTATGAGTCGGACAAGGAAAGAGTCACTCAGAACTGTAACATGATTTGAAACATTCTCTTAAATGCACAGATTTTCTCTGCACTTTTAATGCCCAAATGGGATGTTGTTCCAAAGCATAGGACCTGCTTTTGAGAAACATCTGTCTCCAAATGTCTTTGTCCTCGTACGTGGCACAACTAGTAACTGGGCACTACTAGAACGTAGGGAACGGGAGGGTTGATGGCACTGGATGTCATTTCTTGGACAAAAACAAACTAAAGTGCAAATCGTTTTCCATGGAAATCATGAAAAAAATAAATGACAAAAAATCTGCAAATAGCAAAAGGCACCACTTTGGGATCTGCCTCACATATCTGCCAAGTTTTGCTGAAAGATATTAAAAGTTTTAGCGTTACAGTTCGAAACAAAACCTACCCTCCCTTTGAGACTAAGTCCAAATTGTTTTCATGGAAACTGAGAAAATAATAAATCACAAATATCTGCAAATAGCAAAAGGCACCACTTTGGCATCTGCCTGACATATCTGCCAAGTTTTGCTGAAAGATATTAAGAAGTTTTCCAGTTGTGTTCGGAAACTAAAACCCATCCCTTCCTTTTGAGACTAAGTCGAATCATTTCCATGGAAACCGAGAAAATAATAAATCACAAATATCTGCAAATAGCAAAGGCACCACTTCAAGATCTGCCTCACATATCTGCCAAGTTTTGCTGAAAGATATAGAGAGGTTTTGAGTTGTGCTCGAAACTAAGCCCACCCCTCACTTTTGGGATTAAGTCCGAATCGTTTCCATGGAAACCGGGAAAATAAAAATGCCAAAAATCTGCAAATAGCAAAAGGCACAACTTTAGGATCTGTTTGATATATCTACCAAGTTTTGTTGAAAAATATTATACGGTTTTGAGTTGTGCTCCGAAACTAAAGCAATCCTTACTTTTTGAGACTAAGTCCAAAATGTTTCCATGGAAACCAAGAAAAATAAAAATGCCAAAATCTGCAAATAGCAAAAGGCACCACTTAAGGTTCTGTTTCATACATCTACCAAGTTTTGTTGAAAATATTGAACGGTTCTTGAGTTATGCTCGGAAAGCGAAGCCCACCCCTCACTTTTGGGATTAAGTCCGAATCGTTTCCATGGAAACCGGAAAAATAAAATACCAAAATCTGCAAATAGCAAAAGGCACCACTTAAGGTTCTGTTTGATATATCTACCAAGTCTTGTTGAAAAATATTGAGCGGTTCTTGAGTTATGCTCCGAAAGCAAGCCCACCCCTCACTTTTGGGATTAAGTCGAATCGTTTCCATGGAAAACGGGAAAAATAAAATGCCAAAATCTGCAAATAGCAAAAGGCACAACTTTAGGATCTGTTTGATATATCTACCAAGTTTTGTTGAAAAATATTATCACGGTTTTGAGTTGTGCTCCGGAAGCTAAAGCAATCCTTACTTTTTGAGACTAAGTCCAAAATGTTTCCATGGAAACCAAGAAAATAAAAATGCCAAAATCGGCAAATAGCAAAAGGCACCACTTAAGGTTCTGTTTCATACATCTACCAAGTTTTGTTGAAAATATTGAACGGTTCTTGAGTTCTTGAGTTATGCGTTTCCATGGAAACGGAATCTGCAGAGTAGCCACCCCTCACAAGTTCTTGTTTTTGGTTCTTGATTAAGCTCCGGGATTAAGTCCAAAATCGTTTCCATGGAAACCGGAAAAATAAAAATGCCAAAATCTGCAAATAGCAAAAGGCACAACTTTAGGATCTGTTTGATATATCTACCAAGTTTTGTTGAAAAATATTATACGGTTTTGAGTTGTGCTCCGGAAGCGAAAGCAATCCTTACTTTTTGAGACTAAGTCCAAAATGTTTCCATGGAAACCAAGAAAAATAAAATGCCGTACAAAAAAATCTGCAAATAGCAAAAGGCACCACTTAAGGTTCTGTTTCATACATCTACCAAGTTTTGTTGAAAAATATTGAACGGTTCTTGAGTTATGCTCCGGAAACGAAGCCCACCCCTCACTTTTGGGATTAAGTCCGAATCGTTTCCATGGAAACCGGGAAAAATAAAAATACCAAAAATCTGCAAATAGCAAAAGGCACCACTTAAGGTTCTGTTTGATATATCTACCATCTACCAAGTCTTGTTGAAAAATATTGAACGGTTCTTGAGTTATGCTCGAAGCGTAAGCCCACCCCTCACTTTTGGGATTAAGTCCGAATCATTTCCATGGAAACCGGGAAAAATAAAAATGCCAAAAATCTGTAAATAGCAAAAGGCACAACTTTAGGATCTGTTTGATATATCTACCAAGTTTTGTTGAAAAATATTATACGGTTTTTGAGTTGTGCTCCGGAAACGAAAGCAATCCTTACTTTTTGAGACTAAGTCCAAAATGTTTCCATGGAAACCAAGAAAAATAAAAATGCCAAAAATCGGCAAATAGCAAAAGGCACCACTTAAGGTTCTGTTTCATACATCTACCAAGTTTTGTTGAAAAATATTGAACGGTTCTTGAGTTATGCTCCGGAAGCTTGAAGCCCACCCTCACTTTTGGGATTAAAGTCCGAATCGTTTCCATGGAAACCAACGGTTCTTGAGTTATGCTCGGAGAAAGAAGCCCACCCCTCACTTTTGGGATTAAGTCCGAATCGTTTCCATGGAAACCGGGAAAAATAAAAATGCCAAAAATCTGCAAATAGCAAAAGGCACAACTTTAGGATCTGTTTGATATATCTACCAAGTTTTGTTGAAAAATATTGAATGGTTCTTGAGTTATGCTCGGAAGCAAGCCCACCCTTCTTTTAAGACTAAGTCCAAAACGTTTCCATGGAAACCGAGAAAAATAAAAATGACAATTATCTGTAAATAGCAAAGGACAAAAACAGACAAAGTTGCATTGGCCCAGTTTAGATGAAGATCACATGGTTCAGTGAGTCAACAAGAAAGATGATTAAATACACAGTGAGAAATGAGACTGCATGAAAAAATTGACACAAAAAAATGACAGAGTTTTACATTTCTCCTTTGTAATGATGAGAATGTAAAAGAGTAAAATATCATAGACGCACCAGGTATTTAAACCCAGCTCTGCATAAACATACTGTACAGATTTCTACACACAATACTTGTACTGACAAGAATATTTCTATGAAGCTGTAATCTAGTGCTGGCGTGTAACATGCTCATGTTAGGTAGACCAAGAGAGTTTGTGAGAGGGTTGATTAAAGGTGTCTGCTTTTGAATGTGTAACAGAGTACTTCGAGCCACATATATGGAAAGCCTTGAGGATTTATGGGAGATTCTGGTCCTGACAGTGTAAAGGAGTACTTTAAACAACCTACCGATGGTGTTACAGACTACGTTAAATCACCTGTCTAGAGATTACATTAGCAGGGCGTGTGGGGGTTAATGTTCCTAGCAGGGAGCGACCTACCTAGAGAATCTGTGGGAGTTAATGTTCCTGACATTGCAACAGAGTATGTTGAACGACCTACCTAGAGAGTCTGTGAACAGGGTGAGTGGGGGCTTCTGTTCCTGACATTGTAACAGAGTATGTTGAACGACCTACCTAGAGAGTCTGTGGACAGGGTGAGTGGGGGTTTCTGTTCCTGACATTGAACAGAGAATGTACCTAGAGAGTCTGTGAACATGGCGAGTGGGGGTTTCTGTTCCTGACATTGAAACAGAGAATGTTGAACGACCTACCTAGAGAGTCTGTGGACAGGGTGAGTGGGGGTTTCTGTTCCTGACATTGTAACTAGAGAGAATGACATTTGAACGACCTACCTAGAGAGTCTGTGAACAGGGTGAGTGGGGGTTTCTGTTCCTGACATTGTAACAGAGAATGTTGAACGACCTACCTAGAGAGTCTGTGAACAGGTGAGTGGGGGTTTCTGTTACTGACATTGTAACAGAGAATGTTGAACGACCTACCTAGAGAGTCTGTGAACATGGTGAGTTGGGGTTTCTGTTCCTGACATTGAACAGAGAATGTTGAACGACCTACCTAGAGAGTCTGTGAACAGGGTGAGTGGGGGTTTCTGTTCCTGACATTGTAACAGAGAATGTTGAACGACCTACCTAGAGAGTCTGTGAACAGGGTGAGTGGGGGTTTCTGTTCCTGACATTTTACCAGAGAATGTTGAACGACCTACCTAGAGAGTCTGTGAGCAGGGTGAGTGTGGGTTTTTGTTCCTGACATTGTAACAGAGAATGTTACACGACCTACCTAGAGAGTCTGTGGACATGGTGAGTGGGGGTTTCTGTTCCTGACATTGTAACAGAGAATGTTGAACGACCTACCTAGAGAGTCTGTGAACAGGGTGAGTGTGGGTTTTTGTTCCTGACATTGTAACAGAGAATGTTACACGACCTACCTAGAGAGTCTGTGGACATGGTGAGTGGGGGTTTCTGTTCCTGACAATGTAACAGAGAATGTTGAACGACCTACCTAGAGAGTCTGTGAACAGGGTGAGTGGGGGCTTCTGTTCCTGACATTGTAACAGAGAATGTTGAAACGACCTACCTAGAGAGTCTGTGAACAGGGTGAGTGGGGGCTTCTGTTCCTGACATTGTAACAGAGAATGTTGAACGACCTACCTAGAGAGTCTGTGGACAGGGTGAGTGGGGGCTTCTGTTCCTGACATTGTAACAGAGAATGTTGAACGACCTACCTAGAGAGTCTGTGAGCAGGGTGAGTGGGGGCTTCTGTTCCTGACGGTGGAATGGGGTATGGGTTGACGAGGGGGGAGCTGATTTTGCCGCCAGATGCTGCTGCTGCTGCCGCTGCTGCAAGATATGCCTGACTGGTTCCTGGTGGGAATTCACCATCAATCACTTCAAGAAAAAGATCAATAGTAAGACTCCAATAATACTATCACAATGATATAGTGATACAAGTATTGGTAACGTTCCCTCAATAGCAACTGAAACTATTAAAGGCCGGGATGCAAACCTCCCAAATATGAAACCCTGAATGGCTGACTGACTGAGTTTGGCTTTACGCCGTTTTTAGCAATATTCCAGCAACATCACGGCAGGGGACACCAGAAATGGGCTTCACACGTTGTACCCATGTAGGGATTGAACCCGGGTCTTCGGCGTGACGAGCCAACGCTTTAACCACTAGACTACCCCACCGCCCCAAACCCTGAATGAAACATTTCCCCACTCCAAGGCTTGTTTCTATGAAAACGTACCTCCTCTGGCCACCTGACTGACACAGTGGGAAATTCAAGTCTGGATTTAAAAATGAGAAATGTATTTTCAAAATGTATGTTTTGTAGACTCTCACAACATACTTCTTTATACTAGGACTTAATATCAGCCTGAACCGGTGAGTCAGTTTTGTGATATTTCATGGAATGTACTTGAATACTACATTGCTTTGCATCTAAGGACAGCTTTGACAAGGCAAGGAGGCCACACCCCATCTGTGTATAGGTTTGCACCCCGGCCTTTAAGCAGAGAGTGCAGAGGGAAAAGGGAGACAACTGTGACCTACCTGGCAGTGAAGGGAAGTAACCGGGTAGAGCATTTGGCAGTAGGTGACTTGCAATGGGCATTCCAAGACGTGCCGTCATCGCTCGTAACTCCTCCTCCGAAGCCACGCTACTGGATGTAGAACCCTGAAAAGCAGCAATCAGAGATTTCAGTTCATAGTAAGAGGTTCAGTAGGGGGAGGTAACTCCAAATAATCAAACCTGGGATCCATATAGTACACCCAATAACAGTAAATAGTATCTATACCTTAACTCATGAAACCAGTACCCATGACGATGTCTTTAGCAGCTCCTGCTTATTGTAAGAGTGAGTGAGTGAGTTTAGTTTTACGCCGCACTCAGCAATATTCCAGCTATATGGCGGTGGTCTGTAAATAATCGAGTCTAGACCAGACAATCCAGTGATCAACAGCATGAGCATCGATCTGCGCAATTGGGAACCGATGACATGTGTTAACCAAGTCAGCGAGCCTGATCACCCGATCCCGTTAGTCACCTCTTACGACAAGCATAGTCGCCTTTTGTGGCAAGCATAGGTTGTTAAAGACCTATTCTACCCCGCTTATTGTAAGAGACAACTAACATGATGAGGTGGTCAGACTTGCTGACTTGAAGCATGCTGTATCCTATTTGTATCAATACTCATGATTGTTATCTCTGAATCGTATGTTCCAGACTGGATTCTATATATAGGCAGCTGTCATATACCTGGACTAGTGATGAGCGAGAATTTATCAAGAAACAAATACACAAAACGTGGAACCATTTACCAATTAGGTCAGATGCAAATTCCAAGAGCAAATCTAATATACTCATGGAAACAAATAAGGGAACACATGAAAGTACAAGTGTTCCTTTATTCTTTACCAGGTTTCTTCGCAAGGCATCCACTGCACTGTGAGTGAAATTCTGGAACTAAATAAAGGAACACTTGTACTTTCATGCGTTCCTTTATTTGTTTCTTTGAGTATATAAAAATCATCCGTATTTATGTAGCCTTTGCAGCCTCTGAAACTAAACAAGCAAATGAGTAAATGAGTGAGTGAGAGTAAAAATGGTTCACTCAACCGATGTTGATTCTTGTAACAGGTACAGGGTGCTGGAGACCTACTCTTTACCCGCCGCCCCCCTCACGTGACCCCTCAAGTGACCCATGTAGGAATACTCACACTAACAGAGGATGGCCCTGAGGTCGGGGGTCTGCCGAGGGAAATGTTGGGCATGGATGGGGACGTGTAGAGACTCAGGTCAGTTCCGGGATAACTCAGTCCAGGTCGGAATGGGAACGGGTAGGTGCCGTTGTCCTGCAACAAATTGATAATCAGATATAAAATACATCAAATCCTCAATCCACACACGAGAGTTACGTGACATCTGCAAGTGGTGAGTTCCATCGTCCTGAAAACAAATGTTGCAAAACACTCATCCATGCAAATATCTGTATATTCGTTTGTGTTAATATATGCTAGACAGTTATAAGAATACATGTCATTTTTCTCATTCATAAAATACGGGGGCGGTGGGGTAGCCTCGTGGTTAAAGGGTTGGTTCGTCACACCTAAGACTTGGGTTCGATTCCCCACATGGGCACAATGTGTGAAGCCCATTTCTGGTGTCCCCCGCCGTGATGTTGCTGGAATATTGCTAAAAGCGGCGCGTAAAACCAAACTCAGTCAGTCAGTCATTAATGATGTTTACAGACAAACAAACTAAACATTCTTATTGATGTTTATCTTTACATTCCAGCCTATCCTGATAGATTGTAAGAAGAAAGAATATAAAGAAAAATTGAAACAAAAATTAATGGTTCATATTAAAAACTACTATTAACCAAACTAATGATAAAATTGAGCCCAGTGTAGATGACGACTTCACTGACAAAAGTAGATATGGCTGTGCATGAGCCAAACCACGGGAACCTGTACAGCAGTAAGTATATACACTGGAAACTTAAGTGATTGGCAGTGATTGACACTGATGATCCAATCAGATCCTATTTTCCACACACTAATGTAAATATTACTCACATATGACCACTGCAGGAACAGTCAACAATTTAAAATGACTTTACCGTTTTCTCTGAACATTTGAAAAGTTAAAATTTCAAAATACACAAATAGTAATCTGAATAATCTTGAGTGAGTGAGTTTAGTTTTACGCAGCACGCTGCAATATTCCAGCTACATGGCAGCAGTCTGTAAATAATCGAGTCTGGACCAGACAATCCAGTGAGCGTCGATCTACACAATTGGGATTCGAAGACAACCCGATCCCGATAGTCGTAATGATCTTGAAAGACTGACTGACCGAGTTTGGTTTTACGCCACTTTTAGCAATATTCCAGCAACATCACAGCAGGGGACACCAGAAATGGGCTTCACACAGTGTACCCATGTGGGGATTCGAACCCAACGCTTTAACCACTAGGCTACCCCACCGCCCGATCTTGAAAGAAGTGAAGGAAGTGTCAAAAGACTTTCCAAATGAGAACTCTGATTGAGTCTCAGTGCAGGGGATGGGAGTAAAAACGAAGAGCGACTGACATACGTATATGCCAACAGGTAATTCGGGCCTGGCAGAAACCCATCTGGGCAGAATACTGCCATTAATCAACATTTTTAGAAGAATGAGAGAGCAGCGGTGTCACTGCTCACAGATACGTGTGTTCACACAAGTCGATATCAAGCATTCTCATCTTAAAGTACATCTCCCCCTAGCAGTGAAGGAAGCCTCACCTGGCAGACTGCCAATCTATATTTAAACCTCAGTTAGGTTACACGATCCCCCATCTCCCTGAGGACCCTCCCATTACAACATCTACTGTTGTGTCGGTGAACATGGCAGTGTCAACGATGCTATGCTAAAGTGAGGATTATTTATGAAGGCTGATTTACTTCAGTTCCACCATGACAGTCTTTACCAATAAATTTGGCAAGAAACGCTGACAGCATCTGTTGCAGAAAACAATCGTATCATGCACAGTTATTGCCTCAACATTCACTGCTGAAGAAGTCCCAAGAACTTAAGAACCTGCCAGAATGCATCACATCATTTCTTTCCACAACAGTCTTGCTCTAAATGAAGGGGAAAACTATGTGTGAGTATTGTTTCATGCACCTTTCACAATATTCCAGCAATTTCACATAAAGGAACACCAAAATTGGCTTTAACACGTAACACTCACTTAGAGACTCAAACCCAGACCTTTGGCACGATGAACAAACGCTTCAACCACTACACTACCCTGAGAAAACTATGTCAGCAATGTTAATCAAAAACACAACCAATGAATCAGAAATAAAGATTAATCTAAACTAAATCCTACAGTGCAATATAATTATTCCCAAGATAATGCTCAGACTGGGTAAAAATCCGGCTAGATTTCATGCTGCACCCTAACTGCTAGCTGCGGAGATGGAATCACTGCTCGAGCCTCCATCTATTCACATCCCATTTCCGTGCTGGGAGACTGTGCCAAGCTCTACAAAAATCGCATCTATTTACAGTATGTTCTATTTTGGCAGCCCGAAAGGAAGCATCTGTATTTGGGTGATAAAAGGATCCCATCTGCCTCTCAAAGACACACATTCTGTGCGGGCAGGTCCTCTCTCTCCTATCTGCACTACAGGTCTATTGTTGCCATCATACATCATCAGATAGAATTTCTTCAGCAAAACAAAAAATGTCCATTTCCAGGAATTTAAAATATTTACCCACAGTGAAGTATTTGGACCATTTTATAACACAAACCTTATCTTCTGATTTCAAATAATAAAAAGAAGAGGTATGCATATTGACCATAAGGGTTTTTCTGCTCCTAAAATATATTTAAATATAAAATTCTTGAATGCTAATGAATACAATTCTCAAGAATTTAAAATATTTACTTATCATGAACTGATGGAACTATTTGACCACAAACAGTGAAATCTAGTCTTCATATTTCATATAATATAATGAACAGAGGCATGCATTCTGATTACAATAAAATCTGAGATATTAATATGTTTGAACAAATATTCATCATAAAAATAGTTACCTAACAATGTACAAACCATTTCATATTTCTACACAATGTATATTTATACAATAATATTCATGCTTGATTTACATGTAAAGAACCACTTGAAAAGCCCATCGTCATTTCACACTGCAGCTGTTCTGCACAGATTTAATAACATCAGAAAATATATGATCAATAAGCATGTCCTGAAATAACACAAAGCACATTTAAGTTGAAGCTAGCCTTGTACACTTTCACGGGCAGTGATTCAGCCAAGGCTGAAATAATAAATATAATTGCAAGTCCCAAACTGTGTGCACACAAAGTGAAGTGAATTAAAAGCAAGCAATATCACATAACAAAAATGACTGGTATTTAATTGAATGTATATAAAAATATACATTATTTCCGAACATTAAATTATTTGTCCAGTACCGGTTTCATTGCTGTAGCAACAGACCATATCAAGCATCTGTTCATCTGTCCTTAATTATATTATCTGCAAATTCTTTGTTCATTGAAAACAGAAACAATTTATTTGTCATATACGCTTTGACCATGAAAGTCATAGTAATTTCAGCTTTCAGCAATATTCCAGCAATATCACGCCGGGGACACCAGAAACGGATGATGAGCAAGCTTTAATCTAGGCTACCCATCGCCCCTGATAAGAGGGGAACACAAAGTATGTGATCTACAGTGCTAGAGTTTTTGGACCCCCATTTTGTGGACATCTTGGTGGCTGAGAGGCTGCAGGCAATTTGGTAGCTTACTCAGAAACTGTGGGTTCGAATCCCGGACAGGACTCCACCCACAAAGAACTAAAATTTGTTTTTCACAAAGGAAGTGCAACCCAAATACAAATTGTGTTATATTTGACCAATTTCCAAAAGAGAGTCTTTACATAATTGCCATTGCTAACCAAAACTAGCAATATCAAGGCAGGGGAGACCAGAAATGGGCTTCACTCATTGACCATGAAGGGTGATGCTTTACTGACTGACTGACTGAGTTTGGTTTTATGCCGCTTTTAGCAATATTCCACCAACATCACGGCGGGGGACACCAGAAATGGGCTTCACACATTGTACCCATGTGGGGAATAGAACCCAGGTCTTCGGCGTGACGAGCCAACGCTTTAACAACTAGGCTACCCCACCGCCCCGGGTGATGCTTTAAACCACTAAGCTACCCCCAGAACAGACGGCACTCTCTAGAGCTTATATTAAACATTTATATTACAAATAACACATGATCAATACTACTTTTTGTCCACCAACTGTTACATCAATATATTCATTCAACAGTCTGTTGGGTTTTATGTGAGATAACTAAATCTGTGCCCCACAAAAAACATACTTCTGCACTAAAATATATAAACACATTTCAGGGATATTATACAAGAGCAGCATGACTCCATTTCAAGGACAGACTAAATTTGAACATAGCAATATCAATAATTGTTCTTTTGGCTAGCACTGCACCTGCTGTAGAGTTCAAACTGGTACTGGGCCCTTATTCTCAAAACGTTCGTAGTCTTAAGAATTCTTATCTTTGATCGTAGTCAATGTGTTAAGAATGGGTTTAAGAAGTTCGTAGGGCTACGAACGTTTCGAGAATAGCTAGCCTGGCCGTCAAACTGACTTACCTCCTTAGAGTGGAGTGATGACAGACTCCCATTGGGCAGTGCACCATGGGAGCTTCCTGCTGGTGAATTGGGCCCCGAATCTGGATTACTACTACAAACTCCGGTCTCAACTGCAACAGATCAATCAGAAATACCTGAATCTTTTATCAAGGCACTGGAAAAAATCTGATTATGTAGTCTCAAACATGTTTTGTTGTCATCATGGCAGAATTAGAGCAAATAAGTCTTGTTAACTAAATAAAAGGAGCTTGTGTTGACAGTGGGGACCCCATTTCTTAAAACGAAATTTGCCAACAATTGTGTGAGGTCTCAGCTTCAGATGAGGTGAGGTGAAATTGGGTTTAACGTCGTGCTTGAGAATATTTCGCTCATATGACGACGTGCATGAGTGTGTATGTGAATGTGCGGCTGCTTGTACTAGCCCAGACGTAAGCTGGTTTTATAGTGCTAGCCCACTGAGATACCATGCCGCAGTGAAGCATGAATACCCCACTCAGACACATTATACTGACTCCAAGCCGACCAGTCCTTGTTGTACCCATTAATGCCGAACGCCAGGCAGGGACCATCAAGTACCATATTTGAACGTCTTTTGGTATGAAGCGGTCAGAGATCGAACCCGCAACCTTCCGCTCTCCGGGCAGACGCTCTAACCACTACACCACGGAGGCGGTCCTCAGCTTCAGAAGGAAGCGAGTAAGTTGGGTTTAACGCCGCTTGGAACAGTATTATATGACAGCTGGCGATTCGGGTCTAAGGTGTTTACCAGTTTGGCGTCACTCACTGCTTGGAGTCAGGTCCAGATATGTACAGAGACAGAATCAGGCCACATTGGGGTTCGAACCTACATTTCTGGTGTGCCCAAGAGATGCCAATCTGCATCACGAATTGCGATGCTTTAGATGACTGCTTCAGAAGTGAGTCAGTGAGTTTAGTTTTATGCCACTTTCAGGAATATTCCAGCAATATCACAGCGGGGACACCAGAAATAAGCTTCACATGTTGTACCCATGTGAGGAATCGAACCCAGGTCTTCAGTGTGATGGGTGCGATGCATCGTGTGTGTATGTGTATGTGCGGCTGCATGTACTAGCCCAGACTGAAGCTGGTTTTATAGTGCTAGCCCACTGAGATACCATGCTGCAGTGAAGCATGAATACCCCACTCAGACACATTATACTGACTCCGAGCCGACCAGTCCTTGTTGTACCCATTAATGCCGAGCGACAGACAGGGACCAACAAGTACCATATTTTAACGTCTTTTGGTATGACGCGGTCGGGGATCAAACCCGTGACCTTCCGCTCTCCGGGCAGATGCTCTAACCACTACACCACGGAGGCGGTCTTAGATGAAGTGAGGTGAAGCTATGACAGCGGCAATCAGATGACTGTGTGGAGGCCATCTCCTCATCAGCATGATCCTGTCAAGTACTGATGCACTTCCCATCCTCCCCAGTGTTTTTTGTAATTATACAAAAACTCTGGAAAATTGGTCCATCATAAAAAACAATGATAATTCACTGTATGGACCGGCAGTAAGCTTATACTGTTGGATTTACAAACTTTCATGTGGCTATATATGCCAGTCTGTTTGTTCGTTGTTTAACGCCGCTCTCAGTAATATTCCAGCTATATGATGGCGGTCTGTAAATAATCAAGTCTGGACCAGACAATCCAGTGATCAACAGCATGAGCATCAGCAGTGTATGAAATAAGGCCCATCAGACGGTCTACATTTAAAGCTCGCCAGCCCGATGGTCTGGTAAAGAGACGGGCTAGATTTCTGACGGACGGTCTACATTTACAGCTCGCCAGCCCAATGGTCTGGTAAAATGTTTAGATATCATGTTCCATACATCTGAGTAAATTCACCATATCTTTAATTTTTCATTGTAACTAAAACTTGAGTTATTCTCTTTGGATTGTCTGGTCTGGTTAAATCCATTTTGGGCTGGTAACATTTTGAAGTTACCCGCCCTGATGTCAGGTTGGTTTTTGGCTTATTTCATACACTGGCATCAGTCCACCTGATCCCTTTAGTCGCCCCTTACAATAAGCTAAAGACTAACCCGGATCTTCATGGGTTGCGAGTAAAGTAACAAGTGGTCAGTGGGATAAATCCACAACTCCTGACACTGTAGAAGTGAAAGAGTGCAGTACTGAGATCAAACCATGATGGATGACTGTCCTCTGGGGTGAAGCGAATACCATGTGTCAGCTGTGTCAAGAAAGTCCACTCAGCATCAACCACTCTGGAAACCCCCCAGCTTGGGCAGGGTACTCATGACCAGCTGATTCTGGTACTGCCAAGGGAGGCAACTGTTCAGAGGGAAATGCTGCAGCAAGCCCATTGAACTATCCTCCACTGCTAACTGAACAGTGAGTGAGTGAGTTTAGTTTTACGTCGCACTCAGCAATATTCCAGCTATATGGCAGCGGTCTGTAAATAATCGAGTCTGGACCAGACAATCCAGTGATCAACAGCATGAGCATCGATCTGTGCAATTGGGAACTGATGACAAGTGTCAACCAAGTCAGCGAGCCTGACCACCTGATCCCGTTAGTCACCTCTTACGACGAGCATAGTCGCCTTTTGTGGAAAGCATGGGTTGCTGAAGACCTATTCTACCCCGGATCTTCACAGGTCGCTAACTGCACAGAAGAGTGGGAGAGAAAGTTTCTACACCACTTTTAGCAATATTCCATCAATTCTCACACCAGAAATGGCACACATTTCACAAATGTCGGGAATCAAACTCAAGTGTTTGGCATGATGAGCAAACACTTTAATCACTGAGCTACTACACTACCTACTGTGGTAAAGAAAGAGACCGACATGGGTTTGATTGATCCCGCAGATGGGATGGGACGCAGACAAAGAAGAGTTATAACCACAATTGAAAGGATCACTTACGATGGCTGAGGAGGCCACGAGAATGTCTGGACAGATTCGTCTGGAACTTAATTAAGTTGTACGTCTTATACAGCAATGTGCAAGCATGTTTGTGACCAATATCAGTTTTATAGTGCAAGACGGCTGAGATCCCAGGCTGTAGTTTTACACGGAAACCCATTCAGACACGGTATGCTGACACAAGGCCAGGCAGTGATTGGTTCATACCATTAATGATGGTCTGGTACCATCTTTGAATGACCGCCTCCGTGGTGTAGTGGTTAGAGCGTCTGCCCGGAGAGCGGAAGGTCGCGGGTTCAATCCCTGATCGCGTCATACCAAAAGACGTTAAAATATGGTACTTGTTGGTCCCTGTCTGGCGCTCGGCATTAATGGGTACAAGAAGGACTGGTCGGCTCGGAGTCAGTATAATGTGTCTGAGTGGGGTATTCATGCTTCACTGCGGCATGGTATCTCAGTGGGCTAGCACTATAAAACCAGCTTCAGTCTGGGCTAGTACAAGCAGCCACACATACACATACACACGCATGCACGTCGTCATATGAGCGAAATATTCTCAAGCACGACGTTAAACCCAATTTCACCTCACCTCACCATCTTTGAACATGTAGGGATCGTACCACCAGCCTTCTTTTCAGATGCTCTATCCACTAGAACAAACTGGACAATGATCAGGTGTATAGTGTGTGCTTACCAGAGCACAAACGCCTGACAGCATCAAGATGGGAGTCAGGAAAAGTCCATGTTAGTAAATAATTCAGAGAACATAGCAGTCTCCTAGATCTTACTGCCTTCATCCGATTACCAGGTCAAGCCGACCCTGTCCTTGGCAATGTGCACTCATCACATTTCCCACCATTGTGAAGACATTTATAAAGTTCACGCTAAATCTCTCGTAATTTGCAGTGTGTGGACGATGGAGACAGGAGCAGCCACAGTACAGCAATTAAGTGAAGAATGTCAGAACAAAGGGCACGGCTGAAGGTTGCAGACCTCAAAACCTCACTCACTCACTCACTCACAAGCTGTGCCCCTATGAAGGGTACTGTAGCAGCTACCCTCACAGTTAAACTGACAATGATAGTGCTGTGTAAGTAGGGTATGTTCCAACTAATGGTCATAAGTTAACACCTTAAGAGATAAACAGTAAATAGCAGGAAAGAGCATGCAAGTCACTGTGTGAGAACGTCAGAGAGAGAGAGAGAGAGAGAGAGAGAGTGAGAGAGAGAGAAAGAGAGAGAGAGAGACAGCGAGAGAGAGACAGAGACAGAGTACGTAAAAGTGTAAGCTAATAAACATGAGAGTTTATCCATGTGTGTGTAAGCCGTGTGTGTGTGTGTGTGTGAGAGACAGACAGACAGAGAGAGAGAGAGAGAGAGAGAGAGAGAGAGAGAGAGAGACAGAGACAGAGTACGTAAAAGTAAGCTAATAAACATGAGAGTTTATCCATGTGTGTAAGCTGGTGTGTGTGTGTGTGTGTGTGAGAGAGAGAGAGAGAGACAGAGAGAGTACGTAAAAGTGTAAGCTAATACACTTGAGTGTTTATCCATGTGTGTGTAAGCCCGTGTGTGTGTGTGAGAGAGAGAGAGAGAAACAGACAGACAGAGAGTTTAGGCGAATGTGTGTGTTCCTTGTCAACAATGTCAGTTTCCCTGTATGAGTAAGGCACTTAAGCAGTAGTGGCACTTCAGTGTGGCACTATTTCTACAATATGTCCTCATATCAAATTCCTCAGCCATTATCACGTATCTGCCAGCTCTATCTACTGGCCTCTTGATGAGAAGATGACTCTGGCATTGAAGGTCAATCACACACGTGAAGTTTACATCAGTCAGCAATATTACAGATGTATTTCAACTGGCAACATTTACAGCCCAGGGCCCCGTTCCTCAAAACGATCGTAGCGCTACGATGATCGTAACTCCCATGCTTTAACATAGACTTACGACTGTCGTAGCGCTACAATCGCTTTGAGGAATGGGGCCCAGTTAAACAGAGAGAAAAATGAACAGTCTGCCGTGGAATTCCATGCGAAGAGTTACAAAAGGTTCACGGCAACTCTACTGTCCAGAAATCAATGGGAAGAGTTACAAAGGTTCAGGGCAACTCTACTGTTCAGAAATCCATGGGAAGAGTTGCAGGAGGTTCACGGCAACTCTACTGTCCAGAAATCAATGGGAAGAATTGCAGGAGGTTCACGGCAACTCTACTGTCCAGAAATCAATGGGAAGAGTTGCAGGAGGTTCAGGGCAACTCTACTGTCCAGAAATCAATGGGAAGAGTTGCAGGAGGTTCACGGCAACTCTACTGTCCAGAAATCAATGGGAAGAGTTGCAGGAGGTTCACGGCAACTCTACTGTCCAGAAATCAATGGGAAGAGTTGCAGGAGGTTCAGGGCAACTCTACTGTTCAGAAATCAATGGGAAGAGTTGCAGGAGGTTCACGGCAACTCTACTGTCCAGAAATCAATGGGAAGAGTTGCAGGAGGTTCATGGCAACTCTACTGTCCAGAAATCAATGGGAAGAGTTGCAGGAGGTTCACGCAACTCTACTGTCCAGAAATCAATGGGAAGAGTTGCAGGAGGTTCAGGGCAACTCTACTGTCCAGAAATCAATGGGAAGAGTTGCAGGAGGTTCAGGGCAACTCTACTGTCCAGAAATCAATGGGAAGAGTTGCAGGAGGTTCACGGCAACTCTACTGTCCAGAAATCAATGGGAAGAATTGCAGGAGGTTCACGGCAACTCTACTGTCCAGAAATCAATGGGAAGAGTTGCAGGAGGTTCAGGGCAACTCTACTGTCCAGAAATCAATGGGAAGAGTTGCAGGAGGTTCGGCAACTCCTCTGTCCAGAAATCAATGGGAAGAGTTGCTTCAGGGCAACTCTACTGTCCAGAAATCAATGGGAAGAGTTGCAGGAGGTTCAGGGCAACTCTACTGTCCAGAAATCAATGGGAAGAGTTGCAGGAGGTTCACGGCAACTCTCTGTCCAGAAATCAATGGGAAGAGTGCAGGAGGTTCAGGGCAACTCTACTGTCCAGAAATCAATGGGAAGAGTTGCAGGAGGTTCACGGCAACTCTTCTGTCCAGAAATCAATGGGAAGAGTTGCAGGAGGTTCAGGGCAACTCTACTGTCCAGAAATCAATGGGAAGAGTTGCAGGAGGTTCACGGCAACTCTACTGTCCAGAAATCAATGGGAAGAGTTGCAGGAGGTTCACGGCAACTCTACTGTCCAGAAATCAATGGGAAGAGTTGCAGGAGGTTCATGGCAACTCTACTGTCCAGAAATCAATGGGAAGAGTTGCAGGAGGTTCACGGCAACTGTACTGCCCTTAAATCAAATGGGAAGAGCTACATGAGGCTATAGGCAACTATACTGCCCTGCAAATCCCACAGGAAGAATTGCAGGAGGTTTGGGGCTACTGTACTGCCCTTAAATCAAATGGGAAGAGCTACATGAGGCTATAGGCAACTATACTGCCCTGAAATCCCATGGGAAGAGTTGCAGGGGGTTCAGTGAACTTTCACTGGCCTGGAATACCATGGGAAGATCTGCATGAGGTTCAGTTCAACTCTGAAAGACCTTGGGAAGAGTTGCATGAAGCAATATGTTCTCTTTCTTTTGAGAAAGAAGAAACCATCTCCAAAGTACTATAAGAAGCAATCCTACAAGCCATCCCTTATTTTTCACGAAGATGTACTGTTGGAATGACCTGCTGCTTTCCTTCTGGATGCAGGATGCTCATTCTCCAAATAGCATCTACCATGCCAAACATTTTGAGCTTCAGAGTACCATTCACAAATCTTCTGTGAACTCACATTATGAAAATTCTTTCCGCAATTGAATCTCCAGACTGATGTAAAAGTACCACATATTAGATAACATACCCACACTGAAGTTAATGTGATGAAAACTCTGCACAGAGCAGATTGCGTTTTCCCTGGTATGAAATTCCTTGATTCACCTGGCAAACATCCAAATTCCACATGTTGCAATGCTTTTAGATACCAGCTTGAAAATAAGCCAAATATGTTTTTTGTTTAAACATAAATCATATCATCCACAACATATCTCAGTTATAGCATCTAAATGGGCAAAGAAAAAATGCTAGTTAACCTTATATCGTGTGAGCAATAACTCACGCCTTGACATACGTAAATGGTAAAAGAAATGTTAGTTTCAAAGTCTAATTCATGCAAAAAACAAATGTCACACTTCAATCCAACCTCTAACTGCTGTTATTTACGTTTGTTATTTCCGACTTGCCAATGGCTGTGTATGTTAATGTAAACAATTTGCAATCAATCATTCGCCATGCGGACAAACTCTTGGGAAGGGTGGTTAGCTGGGTTCAAGGTCAAGGTCACAAGGGTACTTGAACAGGCAGGTCACATGACTCCGTCACATGATCAAATCACATGACCAACTTACTGGATGATATTTCTTTTGAGTTAACTCCCTTGAATAACCACCTTAAAGTCATCCTCGAGGACTTCCACTAGAACGTCCTCACACCAAAGCAGACATGTTATAACTATGTGTGACGTCAGTAGAAACATGGTTTAACAACAATATATCCTTTGCATGGTAAATAATGATTAAAAGAGTAATTAGTACCCGCGTTGTGAATCAAAGCTTATAACAATAACAACTGACCAGAGACCGTACAAGTACGTACTTGATAGAGGAGTTTTACGCTTAAGTTGTAATGGTCCTTTGTCCCGTCTCCGAACTAGAGGACTGTGGGTAATTATGCGACGTGTTTCCAATTTCTGCTTCAAAGCCGAGCGCACTTTAAGAATATTTGGCTCAGATGCTGAAATCGACAAATGGGTAATACTTATGTAATGTCTGCAGGCAGCTGCTGTCTGAAAGAAAGACATCAACTAATCAAGTATAATTATACATAACATGAAAACCCTTCCACTGCAACAATCTCAGGATAGGTCTGTGCTTCTAAAGCTTTCAATTTCAAGTTTTTCTGTACTTACACATAGCATGTCTACATTCAGTCAACATAAAACAAATTGTACTTTCAACAATCCACCATTTCAATCAATCAATTTAATAAAAAATTTTTGGTCTTATTTACATCCTAAATACATTATTCCATTTAAAACACATTGTCAGAAAACATTTGAACAAGGACTTCATGAGTTTGCTTCATATCAAACCATGTTAACAATAACATCAAAGACCCGAGTTAGTTACAGTAATGTTGAGTATTCAATACATTTTTATATCTAGTAATGTGCAGCAGCCATTAAAACTGAATAAAGAAACACATTGTCATTAAGACATATCATATGATCAAACACAAAAACACAATTTGTTGCTTATAATGATGGACAGAAATATTAGACTGCTGCAGATGTGATTATTTTTTCACTGGTTACTTTTGAATATTATGTTTATCACATTTCATCTACGTAGGAGGCTAGTTGCCATCAACACATCTTGAATAGCAAAGGTCTTTCCCACCAAATATTTCAATCTGAAGCCTTTTTTTATTTCCAAAGAATGTTTTTGGCATTTGTTAAGATCAGTATTGTAATATTATGACAGATTTACGATGGTGGAAAATACCAAGATAAAGGTGAAATGTTACTTCTGTTAATGGAAGTAGTCTACAAGAAAGCAGCACCATGGAAACTTCCTGATAATGATATACAGCCATGTGAAGTATTTAGGCATCTTATGTTAGAAATGACATTTAGAAACAAATCATGTATTAGCAATGAGAGTTTGAAGACTGATTTCGTGGAAGGTGACTATCATAGTTCTCTTAGGAAATCACATCCAAATATTGTTCCAGAACTTAATAACGTTAACATAACACTGATGAGGTAGAGAATCATTATCTATTTACACGTTCATAACCATGCAATGAGATACACTACTCTGAAGAAATCAAGGATCACCAAGTTCTTTCAACTATAGTTATATCATCAGGTCATCCTTAACTTCTTTTGAGCAGTATATTTTATATCATTCCCAATGGTCGCTTAGAGAAAATGCCAAGTTTACATCCTAACGTTTCCTCAAATTGCTTGAAATATTCATCAACCCGCTGTTCCTCAACATCTCAAACAATCAACCCTTCTTGAACTTGGACTGTTCCCGCTATTTCAATTCATACACCTGACATTACAACTAGACAGATACTCTGTAGTGTCTGGAAGCATTAAAGTAAGTATTTCACCCTGTATCAACATCATAAGAATCAGACACATGAGACAGCCACCCACTCCTGTGGGGCCTCTTTCGTTTCATCCACTTTGATACTAGCCAGTTGCTAACGGCAACGATTCATTTTGTTTCTTCATTCTCCGACTACGAGCATGGAAAAGCTATAAATACACTGGGAAACAAAACACGGCCCATCTATCTGGCCTTTGAGTTGAACAAGAGGAAAACAGGAGAAAATAGACGTTTCAAAAATATCTCGGCTTAATTAACCATTCCTGGCAGAGTATCAGAGTAGGCACAAGTTCTATGTTAAATGACTTAAACAAGAATGTATTTTTCAAAGACAGCTTTAGCAGAATGAAATGCAGATTTAATGAGCCATTGATATACATTTTAAAAATCTGTGTTTTCAGCTATAAATCGTTTAGTAAATTCACTAAAAAATAAACTGCCATAACTTGGAAATAAATTGGGATTGATTAAAGCACTATAACTACTGAAGAAAAGTTAATGAGAGATTTGTTGCAGCACCGCTTAAACAATCATTTGTATACGATGATGAGATACAACAAGCAAGTCGTTTAGAAGTCAGTAAGAATTTTTTTTACTCTTCGAATTTCATTTTACTGAATACATAAGAATGTTAAGTTTAAAAATGAATTCTTGAGATATGCCCTTCCTTGGTTTAAAAAACTTAACTATTAGTTTGTTAAAAGCAAAATGAGCTTGATGTTTTCTTTAGTAAATCAATTTAATTACTGAGATGCAAATGTATGGGTGATATGACAGCAAATCTTGAGATACAAATGAACATTAAAGGATGCTAATCAATAATCCTGATAAGAACTTGATAAATAATTTCATTTATTTGACCAAAAATATTGCCTTTTATTTAAAAAGAAGCCATTAAGCTTTGAAAAATCATTCGAATTCATAGAATTATTAACATTTATTGAAAATAAACTTGGAAAACATGCCTTAAAAAAACTGCTATCTATAAATATGTTTTAAATGAAAATTTAGGATGTAAAGAACTGAAGTCAGCTACAGATTGGACCACAAAACAGTAACACAAAACAGTGTGTGCTTTCATTGGACAAAACAAACTTGTTTACAACTATAAGCATTCAAAAATTGGTTAACAAGAGTCGGACATGTTTCACAATAGCCTAAATAAATAATTATTTCAAAACAAATATTCCAAAATGGAAACAAATTCAGAGTTTCAGGTTGCCAAGAAAATCCCAAATGACCCCCATTTCTGACACCGTCCAAAGTCTAACCCCTGACTAATCATTTAGCAAGAAGCCACATCATTTGTCTGTACAATGTCATCATTACTCTGTCTCAAGACCAAATATGCCTTGGTGCTGAGAGTTCATACGATATTGAAATGTATCTTAAACTTCCAGAATGAGTCATTATCTCCAAATGTAGTTGATCTCACAGTGTGCAAAACAGCCGTCTGCCCAAAAGCCCATGGCAACAAATTTGCTGGCCGAAGATTCTGAAAATCATACCTGACTAGCTTCTGAAATTTACAATGTGTTTTTATGCACACTTTTTGGTTCATCAAAATTTAAAAAGCTCAGTTTTCAAAGTTCAATACGACCATCAAAACTCAAAACTCAAATTAATATCCATGACACGTCAAGGTTGCAAGATGAGAGTTATCCTCTTTATGATATTTATCTCTCATTTCCAGCATGATTTTTTTTCAATTGAAACCTTCCCAGAATAATATTTCTGGAAAAATGAACACATTAAATATTTAGGCTAGCTAGCCCACCTGGTCTGCAATGTTTGTGACTATTTCACACACTGGTCTCCAATAATTTCAAGAAAAGAAAATACAAGCGAAAAAGTCGGAGCAATGCCTACTAATACCCCCAAATGTGACTTCAGTTAAACAACAATTAATAATGATTATCATTGACAAAAAAAACAATATCTGTATCAAACATTGCATTGTGCCTTTCCCATAACCAAAGAATCCATTACCCAAATCTGAAAGACGTCCATTATATTATTGTAGAGGTTGATCATATTTAACGTGGGACTTTTTTCAAGTTCAAGAGATGTAATTTGTGATAATTCTCGAAAAATAAGAACTATTAAAATATAACTTAGCACTGCACCTTTCCTATAGATATAGGGGCTGGGGTAGCCTAGTGGTTAAAGCGTTGGCTCGTCACGCTGAGGACCCGGGTTCGATTCCCCACATGGGTACAATGTGTGAAGCCCATTTCTGGTGTCCCCCCGTGATATTGCTGGAATATTGCTAAAAGCGGCGTAAAACTAAACTCAGTCAGTCCTATAGATATAAATGGTCACTCCCAAATTTGAAAACAATCCATTAAATATGTTCAAGTTGGTTGAACAAAAAGTCCCACTAGTTCAAAATATCTAAATTGACACAACTCTTAAAAAATAAGGAAATCTGAACCAAATGTTGCACTGACCCTCTCCAGTACACAAAAAATCTGCTAACCAAATTTGAAAATATTTTGACCAATAGTTTTCAAGTTATTGGTTGAACAAACATTTTTACAACAGTTCGCAGAAACATTACTGCCTCCTATTGTCATTGTTTGAGATACAATGAAATGTTTACCTGTGACCCAAATGACATGCACATGTACTGATGACAGGCCAGATTAAGAGCACAACATTAAGTTATTAGCATGCACACATCGAAGGGGAGAATACACTCAGGCAAAACAAGGAAAACACAGAGGCAGCCTGCTCAAAGTTACTTCATAAGATGAGCTGCGTGGACTGTATTCCTAGTTGACCTGGATCAGCGAAAGTGTGGGAGTTGCAATCAATATTTGAAGAAAACCTGATAGTGCTTGAACATTGAGCTTCCTGTCCATTCTTGGGACACATGTACCCAAATATAGGCCTATCTTTCTCTTTTAGAACTATCTTTTACAGGGAGTCCGTAGAAAAAAGTATCACCATAAAATAGCCCCATTGGTTTGTCTCTAGCAATGCAAGTCGTGAGTCCAAACCATTCTAGGGACACTTGCACCCAAATATATGTCCATATTTCTCTCATATTAATTTTTCATAGAGATTACATAGGAAAAGTATCAATGAAGGTTACTAATTTAGGTATCAGTTTGCCTCAGTCAAAGTCTATCTTGCTTCTTATCAATTCTGAGGATACTTGTACCCAAATATACATCCAGCTTTTCTTTTTCCAATAATCTTTTTCAGAGATTCCATTCAAATATACAAATAAAGTATAGCCATGTCAGTTTGCCTCAGCTATTGCCTTTCTTCCTTCCTATTCATTCCAAGGACACTTTGACCAAAATATAACATTTTACTATGATTATTTTGAGGGATTTCATTTAAAAACCCTACAAATTAGTGCCGTTAATATGGATTGTCATTTTTCTGTAAAATCATGTGGATTAAGAAGAAGATTTTTGTTCCTGTATATATCCAAATGTTCATTAAAAAACATTTAAAATGAATCACTGTTCACAATCTTGAAAACAGAGTCTCCCGTCATTCTTTATTTAGCAAAAGACATGAGTAAATATTACCTGAAGAATTGAGAATATTAATTTACTGATCAATACTGACTGACTGAGTTTGGTTTTACGCCGCTTTTAGCAATATTCCAGCAATATCACGGCGGGGGACACCAGAAATGGGCTTCACTCATTGTACCCATGTGGGGATTCGAACCCGGGTCTTCGGCGTGACGCGCCAACGCTTTAACCACTAGGCTACCCCACCGCCCCTACTGATCAATAACATTTGGTTGACAAGAGAACCAAAACAATACACCTTATTAAAACATGTGTTGCTATACAAGCTTCACAGAATGTGTGTACAATGTACATGGATTTGGATGTAACAGCAAAAAAATATATTTGTTGTTTACTTTTAAATACATTATTTTTTAATGCATGATCATTATATTTGGATATGGATACAATGGTGAAAATATATATTTGTTCTTAACTCATATAAACAATATGATTGAATAAAATTACATTATTTTGGATTTGGATACAATGATGAAAATATATATTTGTTCTTAACTCATATCAACAATATTATTGAATAAAATTACATTATTTTTTTACCTGGATATAATGGTGAAAAAATATATTTGTTCTTAACTCATATCAACAATATTATCGAATAAAATTACATTATTTTGGATTTGGATATAATGGTGAAAAAATATATTTGTTCTTAACTCATATCAACAATATTATTGAATAAAATTACATTATTTTGGATTTGAATATAACAGCAAAAACCATATATTTGTTCTCAACTCTTGAAACAATTTTTCTTTTCACGCCAAATGTCTACAGTATTCTTCACATCATGAATACATTGTAAGACAGCATAACAGACTTCTTACCAAATCAAATAGTGATGTTGAGTAACATCTTGGAGGGAGGTCCATCAATGACTCATAATTTTCTGAACTCAATAGACTTCCATATTTTGTCCAGAAAGAGAATTTGCTCAAAACCATTTCAAATTTCCATGGATGTCTTTTTACAATATTTTAATTTGATTTTGGGAGTAAATGTTTCTATTAAAAACATATTTGATACTTTGACAGTAAATGTGACACATTCTTATCTTCCAGGAATGTTTTCCATTAAAAAAGCTGAGCAAGCTGCCAAATTTGCTTGTGAGATTCTATATTTGCACATTCATCCAAAGAAAACCAAACAAAAATCAACCATTCCAACTCAAAAGTGGCACTTCTCAATTCATTCCGTATCTAAATCTAGACAGATCAACAACAGCGCACTTACCAGTTTTTCGTAAAGGGAAGTCATCATCATATTTTCCCAGCATTCCGGGCGGGTACGGAGGGGACAAGTTACTCTGAGGGGGGGAACTCTGTTCCAGGGACCCCTGGTTTGGTACCCTGTCAAACAAACTTGCATGTTAATTGTCTTCAGGAAGGAACACTGAACTTCTAAGAATAAGCATGTTAAGCACAGGGTCAGCAAGCACATGGTAAATGAGTGAGTGAGTGAGTGAGCACTCAGCAATATTCCAGCTACATGGCGGTTGTCTGTAAATAATCGAGTCTGGACCAGACAATACAGGGATCAACAGTATGAACATCGATCTACATAATTGGGATACAATGACATGTGTCAACCCAGTCCCGATCCGTTAGTCGCCTCTTACGACAAGCATGGGTTACTGAAGATCAAGTCTAACCCGGACCTTCACGGGTCACATGGTGAAAACATAGTAAGCACAAGGTAAAAACACGGTAAGCACAAGGTAAAAACATGGTAAGCTCATGGTAAGCCAAATGGTAAGACTGGTACTTAGTTCCTAAAATAAGGTTACCTTATTTATATAATACACATCTTTGAATGAATGAATGAATGAATGAATGAATGAATGAATGAATGAATGAATGAATGAATGAATGAATGAATGAATGAATTGTAAATTTTTTAGATAAGGCAATCTACACTTGCCCAGTCATTAAAGACTAATGTTGGACTTCTGTCTTAATGTATTCTGTATGTCTGGGAGCCAGACAACCAAATGGTAAGCCAAACAGTAAGCCCAATGATAAGCTTTGTAGTAAGCCTCATGAAAAGGCTCAAGGTAAGCCTTGAAGGGCAGCAAGCAAATGCCCATCCAGAAGACATGGTGGCCACCAGATCACCATTTTGCTGGTACGGACTCTGCACCTAAATATTTCACAATGGTCCATGACCAATCAAATAAAGAAATCACATCACATGGACCTACTGGTCAATACCAAATCAAGGACAAAACATGGTGACGGCTCCTTTCAAAGTGCACCACAAATTCCTTCTCAATAAAGTAAGCACCAAGTTTCAGACCTTGTGAAGAAAAGTGAAATCACACGTATTCATCTAACCAAATTTGATTGACCCAGCAAGTCAGATATGGCAATTGCTCCCACCAGAACCCAGCTGTCAAACACTTGGCCCACTGTGCTTCCCTATGGAATTCTGTCCCCAGGTTCAATGCTGAAAGGAATGCATGATGACCTACCATGGGTGTCGGAACTGTGGTGGTGACCCTGTGGTCAGTTCTCGGACGGCAGCTTCGCGCTGCTTCTTGGTGAGGACAAATTCATGAAGCTTCTGCTTGACCTCAGTAGATGCAACGGCACCTGAATTAAAAAAGACGAAATCAGGAATAGCATTTTTCTTTTTTCATCTCACCTGAAGCATCTGAATGGTTTTGTTTGTTGGTCAACATCAACTCTGCAATATTTCAGCTATATGATGCCTGCCTTTAAACACATTAAGTCTGGACCAGACAATCCTGTGATCAATATTGTGAGCAACGATTGATGTAATCAGGGAACAAGGACATGATATTAAGTCTAGTCCACATGTTCCTTTTAGTTGCTGCTTATGACTAGCTTAGATTGCTGGAGACCAATTCTTACCAAGAATCCCAACAGGGTTTAAGCATTTTCAAGCATATTTGTTATCTCATGCTGAAAGGTGGTGGTGGTGGTGGAATTGGGTTTAACGTCGTGCTTGAGAATATTTCGCTCATATGACGACGTGCATGCGTGTGTATGTGCGGCTGCTTGTACTAGCCCAGACTGAAGCTGGTTTTATAGTGCTAGCCCACTGAGATACCATGCCGCAGTGAAGCATGAATACCCCACTCAGACACATTATACTGACTCCGAGCCGACCAGTCCTTGTTGTACCCATTAATGTCGAGCGCCAGGCAGGGACCAACAAGTACCATATTTTAACGTCTTTTGGTATGACGTGGTCGGGGATGGAACCCGCGACCTTCCACTCTCCGGGTGGACGCTCTAACCACTACACCACGGAGGCGGTTGAAGAGGATAAGGCACACAGCACTAACATTGACTATTGATATCAAAAGCTGTACAGATAAAGAGTAAAGATACAGACATGGGCGAGTAGTGTCCTTTGTTTGTTTACTTGTTTAACACCGCACTCAGCAATATTCCAGCCATATGGTGGTGGTCTGTAAATAATCAAGTCTGGACCAGACAATCCAGTTATCAACATCATGAGCATCCAGCATCCAGCATCGCAACTGGGATACGATGACATGTCAACCAAGTCAGTCAGCCTGACCACCTCATCTTGTAGGTCGCCTTTAGACAAGCATGGTTGCTGAAGACCAATTCTAACCCAGATCTTCACAGGTAATGCGGAACTAAGGGCTAGGTTTACTGAAATGCTATGCATGCGATACAGGACAAGGGTGACAACTCACTTTCTTCAGTCTTCTTCTTGTTCTTGATCTGCTCCAGCCTCTCCTTCTCCAAGAGCTCCTTCTCGATCCGCTGCTGCTGCTCCAACTTCTTCTGCTGCTGCTGCTCAAAGTAACCCTGACACAATAACGACCCATGAAAGCAGCACCCCACCTGCTCTCATCCCCAGCGCCAGATTTAATGGTACACCCCTCTCGCCCCCTCGTCTCTCAAGGCAGGGGTCAAGCAGCAAAGGACAGAATTTTGGCAAAATGTATTATTATTTGTCATTTGTCGCGTGTTCTTTTCTTTTCTGTTTTGTTTTTGTAAGTGTAAGGGATTGGAAATGAATTCAGAAATTCAACAAATGATTGTCAAAAGTTCATTCTGCTGTACAGTGTTTACAGTAAACTATGGGCGGTGGGGTAGCCTAGTGGTTAAAGTGTTTGCTCATCACGGCGAAGGCCCGGGTTCGATTCCCAACATGGATATAATGTGTGAAGCCCATTTTTGGTGTCCCCCGTAAAACCAAACTCATCACTCACTACAGTAAACTACAGTTAAACCAACTCAAAGGGGCACCCATTTTTAGTTTGTTATAGTCATAGTCCTTTGAACACATTTGGACTAAAACATACAGCAAAGTGTGTTCTGTATAAAATAGATCACTGTATTTAATTACGGTTGAAATTGCTGGAGGCACCCCTTCTTAACTTGGTTCAAAACAAAACATTTGCAAATGACTTCCCACAACATGGACTGACTGACTGAGTTTGGTTTTACGCCGCTTTTAGCAATATTCCAGCAACATCACAGCGGGGGACACCAGAAATGGGCTTCACACATTGTGCCCATGTGGGGATTCGAACCCGGGTCTTCGGCATGAAGAGCCAAAGCTTTAACCACTAGGCTAACAACCCCCCCCAGCATGGTAGGACAGGTGGCCACATGGTTACATTGTCACTTGTCATGTCCAAGGCCTGGGTTTAAATCCAAACATTGTTACAACATGCAAAGACCCATTTTGGTGCCTTCTGATGTGACAACGCTGGAATATTTTTAAAGCAATGTAAAACCATATTCACTCAAACCACAGGTATAATTTTCAAATGCACTGACAAATTTCAAAATGATGAGAACTAGTTGAGTATATTCCATATTTGTTCAGAACACTTATGACATCCAACACACAAGTGAACCAAATCACACACTTCAGAGAAGTTGAGATTCAAGTTTTGCCAAGCGTTATCTATCTTTATAGACAGAAAAACAATCAATGTTTTTTAACCTTAATCATACTATCGACTATTCAGGATCTAACGCTTGTCAAGTATGACACCCTTTCCTCACATATTTACATAAATAGACAAAACACGGATGTCAGTCTTTCCACACAGAAAAAATAGCTGATCTCTTCTGAGAATCTGGCTGATAACGACGTACTAAACTAACCCCGAGGTTGTGAAGTGCAGTGCTGTTGTACTGACTCCCCCAGTAGCAATACAATCACAAGTACCAGAAGGGAGTGTCATTATATACAGGGTGTTAGTGAGAATAGTTTTACACCGCTTTTTGTCAGTCTTCTAGCAACATCAGTGAATGGGCCGCATACTTTTCACTTGTTGGGAATCAAACCCGAATGTTTAGTGTGATGATTGAACACTTTAACAACTGGGCTATCCCACCTTACTGTATTACAGGAAGTTTCAACTTGCAGGCACAAGATTCAGATCAAATTCTGTAGTGAGTTGGGGCCTGTGCTTCTAGCTTTTAAGTAATCAAAAGTTTTCTCCACTTAACATATAAGAGCGAGCGAAATTAGCTTTACAGTGCTTTTAGCAATATTCCAGTAATATCACGGCACCAGAAATGGGCTTCACATATTCTAACCATATGGGCATCGAACTTGTGCCTTGGGCATGACGAGCGGACGCTCTAGCTACTAGGCTCCCATTGGTCGCATCTTACGACAAGCATGGGTTACTAAAGATCAATTCTAACCCAGACCTTCACGGGTCAAATCGTCCCAAATACCAGTATTGAATTTAGTTCTACCTGAGGAACACAAACCCATCTGTACAGCAGATAGCTCTTCCTGTATATATTTATTAATTGGTGTCTTTTAAAAAGGAAGTATATACCAAAGACATAAATTTTACCCCCACTAAATCTGACGAATAAGGTTGAACAGGAACTGTATAATACAACTATCAAATCAATTTCTTTTACTTAATATCATGAAGAACTTTTAATCAAAATGGGTCTATTATTAATTTTTTTTTTTAAATATTTCAAAATACATAAGACTAATGAAAGAAAGATGCTATGCCACATTGATATCTTTGAGAAAGCACATCTTTTTTTGGAGATTTGGTATCTCATTTTTCTGGATGAATTGAAATAAACCCTTCAAGCACTTTCTGCACAAGATATTAAGGTGACAACACAGCCACATCAACATCACATTCAGGTCACCAAAGGGCTGTACAACATTTGTATGAAAAACAAAATTTTTTATGACACCCTCAACAAAATCACCAATGAATTGACTGTGAATAGTTCTGTAAATGTTATAACAACTCGAATAAAGATTGGTCATAATTGGCATTGTAAGATGGGTTCATAAAGAAGAATGCAAACATATGTTAGTAAGATAAGTTCTAAAGGTAATAGTATCCCTTTAACCAACACAGGAAAGTATTGTAAGATTCACACTTATTCATGAATTCCTCCAGAAGTTATCCAGTCAGAGAAACAAATCTAAATATGGTCATAAACAGGATGCAAGTGAACGGTTTCCAGCATATGACAATTCCTTACAAACGACCATTACATGCTATCAGTACTTCTAGCCAAAGCATCCAACACCTTCTACGATATCTCAATAATTCAAATTCAGTATCCTCATGTTTAAAACATGACAAATACTGTTATCTCTCACAAATTTAAAAACACAAAAATATGTTCCATTTTTTAAAACTTTTATATTTAGCATTTGGGTGACATTTTCAACAGTCGAAACTCGACTTGAAAACAGAATCAAAATATCCACAGCAAACTCTAAATTTCTCAAGATCAAAGTGGATGATACAGAATATACAAGGCATTTTTTCAAATGAATCGTGTTCCAAATTTAGATAGATACGACAGAAATAGTGCAAAATGGGCATCAAAACAGTTCCATTACCTTAAATAACCCCACATATCTCACCAAGAAAAGCCATTATCTAGAGGAATCACTGCTTGATCAACCTCCATGGCCAACTAAAATAGTCATCCAGAAATAGCTTAAGCTAAGGAAATCAATGTAAGATATATTAAGCCAAGATATCTACCATCATATGGAACATCAGACAGATCGAAAGGGCACTGATCTGCACAGACTGAGCAAGCCAATATTGACAAGAAGGCATCAGGATGACAATTGTCTAGGTGCTATAATTAGTTCACAATAACAATTTGAAATCTTAGATCAATCTATTTTCTGTGATTCTGAACTATAATTGATAATTCGTTAGCATGTAATTTCATTCCCTCCCTCACAACATATTGATGTGTTAATGCATTTATTTTCTGTAACAAAGTTTGGTTCAACAAAAACATTTGAATGGAATTGGTTGATGAAACTGGGTTTCATATGATATTACTTCTTAGATCTCTACTGCCATAACCTTAAAAGGTATGTGAAGTTGACATGGTCAGTTGCCTTGTGTTCGTTGAAAATAACCACAAACCTCTTGCACCATTTCACATTTGAGACAATGTTAGTTTGGAACCACAAAAATCCTAATCTTATCTTTACAGATAACCTAATAAAACAGACATGAGAAATCTTTGCAGTAAACAGATTTTCACATTCCTAAAATTGCACTGGAAATAGCATTTTACAACAAATAAACAACAGCTGCAACTCAACTAAGAAATAACCACTAACCACAACACCCTGAAACTTCCCCATTGGCTGAATCAATCAACATCTCCTTCTTCCAGAGACATCGAGAGCTGCTGGGAAACTTATAATACAGTGGATTTGGTCACTTGATAGATTATATCCTTCGTTTACTAGCACTATAGTTCCAGATTATCACTAAAATATTCACCCAAGTTGAAGGAGAGATTCTAAAACTACCAACCCAAGATAAGCCACTGTAGTCTAGAAAGAGATTATCCTGCTCAGAGTTCAAGGACTGAAATCTGCACATCCTCACATTGGAATGCTGAAGCTAAGGTAACAAATTGTATATGTGGATCAACCATCATCTGAAGTAATGTCATCAAGCAGGCAGATCTGCATTGGCACCGACGTCTATCATCATTATCAGACTGCACATCATGGGGAATAAAATATACAAACAACATCACACGGTTACAAGACTACAAAGATGGAGAGAGAACAGTGATAACCTCAATCCCACCGTCCTGAAGATTGGAAGAACTGAAAAGCTTAGAGGCCCAGAGAAGAGCAAAGAGAACATGAAAGAGAGCATAGGCGGATCCAGAGGGGGCGTGCAGGGTGTGCACCCTCCCTTTTGACCTGAAAGTTTATTAAATGACCATTGAAAATGGGTGAAAATGAAGTGTGCACCCCCATTTCTCAAGAGTGCGCATCCCCCCTTTCTCAAAAAGCTGTATCCGCCCCTGGAGAGCCAAGCAACCACGTGTGTACAAACATGGGGATGGACAGACAGACAGATGGACCAACAGAATGAAACAGAAGCAGAGCTTGGTGACCCACCTTGATAAGTTGGTGGACTTGTTTCTGGTGTTCCTGTTCAAGGTGCTGCCTCTGTAGCTGCAATGACCAATAACCTGGAGTAATCTACGGCAGGACAATACCACTAGCAAAATGCATTCAAACAATACAGCATCAACACCATTTACTGCTTCATCACCATTTACTGCATCATCACCACTTACTGCATCACCATTTACTGCATCATCACCATTTACTGCATCATCACCATTTACTGCATCATCACCATTTACTGCATCATCACCATTTACTGCTTCATCACCATTTACTGCATCATCACCACATTTACTGCATCACCATTTACTGCATCATCACCATTTACTGCATCATCACCATTTACAGCATCATCACCATTTACAGCATCATCACCATTTACAGCATCATCACCATTTACAGCATCATCACCATTTACAGTATCATCACCATTTACAGCATCATCACCATTAACAGCATCATCACCATTTACTGCTTCATCACCATTTACTGCATCATCACCATTTACTGCATCATCACCATTTACAGCATCATCACCATTTACTATATCATCACCATTTACAGCATAATCACCATTTACTGCATCATCACCATATACTGCATCAACACCAACAACACCATCATCACCATCAACTCATAGTCCCTGCTATGACATGTTCTACAGAAGGGTCTCTCCAGACATAAAAGGAAAGATTTTACATTTGAACCTCCTATAGCCTGTTTCTGTTCTTGTAGGAGCATGTGCTTCAAATTTGCTTTAAAATAACTGTTCTTGAACAGACCTCTCCTGTAAAACTAACTCCTGTGTGACTATGTGTCTAAACCAAACCCAAATATTCACAGAGATTGTCAACAAATTATGTTTTCATGTAATACTGACTGACTGACTGACTGAGTTTAGTTTTACGCCACTTTTAGCAATATTCCAGCAATATCACGGCAGGGGACACCAGAAATGGGCTTCACACATTGTGCCCATGTGGGGAATCGAACCCGGGTCTTCGGCGTGACAAGCCAACGCTTTAACCACTAGGCTACCCCACTGCCCCTATATCTATAGGAAAGGTGCAGTGCTAAGTTATATTTTATAAATATCACACACCTTACGAAGATAGTTCCTGCCAGTTTACCTCATTTGTATAGTTAATGGATTGACATACACAGCGTCTTAGAAATCCATGATATGATAAACAGCTGTATTATAATCTTCTTATTGTGGGCTCATTAGCTTCCTGGAACTGTCTTGTAAATCAGCGCCAACTGTAAACAGTCAGCCACACTTCTGGTTCAGTTCAGTTGAACAGTTACATTCAGAGTTTCACGTCCCACGTTAAAGCCTAAACCACATCGTGACTAATCTCCCAGTTACGCACATCCAAATTATACAAGGGCCACATTGTTAATCTCTCAGCCATAACAAGAGCTTTAAGGATGCAGTCAAATCTGGCACAAATACACTTCCACATAGATTGTCTTAGTATCATAAACAAAATTGAGACAATGTCTCTGTGAGATGTCAAGAACTGCTAGATTGAATTATATTTCTATGTTGTTTGTTGTCGACCACCGCACTCAACAATGTTATGACGGTGGTTTGTAAATAAGAGAGTCTGGGTCATACAACCCAGTGATTGACATTGTCAGTGAGTGAGGTTGGTTTTACGCCGCTTTTAGCATTATTCCAGCAATATCACAGCGGGGGACACCAGAAATGGGCTTCACACATTGTACCCATGTGGGGAATCAAACCCGGGTCTTCAGCGTGACGAGCAAACGCTTTAACCACTAGGCTACCCCACCGCCCGATTGACATTGTGAGTATTGATTGGAATATGATGACATAATAATGATCTACTCAGCAATACTCGAACTGTATGAGACCGCCTCCGTGGTGTAGTGGTTAGAGTGTCAGCCCGGAGAGCGGAAGGTCGCAGGTTCGATCCCCGCCGCATCATACCAAAAGATGTTAACATATGGTAATTGTTGGTCCCTGCCTGGCGTTCGGCATTAATGGGTACAACAAGGACTGGTCGGATCAGAGTCAGTATAATGTGTTTGAGTGGGGTATTCATGCTTCACTGCGGCATGGTATCTCAGTGGGCTAGCGCTGTAAAACCAGCTTCAGTCTGGGCTAGTACAAGCAGCCACACATACACACGTATGCACGTCGTCATATTAGCAAAATATTCTTAAGTGCGACGTTTAACCCCATTTCACCTCACCTCCAACCATATGATGGCTGCCTGTAGACATCACCACTCAATCCAGTGATTGATGTCATGAGCATCAATTGGAACATGACATAATAATGCCGTATTCAGCAATACTCCAACTATATAGTGGCTGCCTGTAATGACCACTCAATCCAATGATTGATACTAGGAGCAATGACCCATGTCACCAGCCTACCATCCATTCAACAAGTTGCCTCCTAATGGCCAGCAAGGGTGGATCAAAATCTCAATGAATCTGAGATCTGAACCCAGGACCAATCAAAACTGGCAGCTTGGTGACAACTCTCGACTTAGACAACTCAGCCATCTGTGGCCTTCCTTAATGAGGCATGAATAAGTACCAATAGTTGTGGTACAGCTAGACACAGGGTCAGGGTCAGGATGAGTGAGTGAGTGAGTGAGTGAGTTTAGTTGGACGCCGCACTCAGCAATATTCCAGCTATATGGCGGCGGTCTAAATAATCAAGTCTGGACCAGACAATCCAATGATCAACAGCATGAGCATCGACCTGCGCAATTGGGAACCGATGACATGTGTCAACCAAGTCAGCAAGCCTGACCACCCGATCCCGTTAGTTGCCTCTTACGACAAGCATGGGTTACTGAAGATCAATATTCCAACCCGGACCTTCACGGGTGGGTCAGGATGAGAATGGAGAGGGTTTAATTATAAAAATGCTGAGTGAGTGTTTCGGTAAAACAGAGGAGTGCACGGGTATGATTATTTGAAGCTGACAGATCAAAACCTTAATGGTGGAGAATTGGGATTCAAACCCTCAACCATTGCTTCATACCCAAGGGAAGCAACTCTGCACAGGGAAATACAGCGCGTTACCAACTAGCCCTCCATTGACATGTGGCAGGTAAGAGAGAATGAGTCCGGAATAAATAACAGATTTCTAGGTTTCACCTTCACGGTCATCATGACCTGCCAATTTACATATTTATACCATTCATACTGTAGTGTTAACATTCCAAAGGGATGGTGATAATATCTAAAACAAGTCCTGAAAGGTTCGTCAACTATCCACACTTCATGCATTCATAGTTAAAGTCAATGAGGTATTTAATGGGTATAACAAGGACTGGTCCCTGCCTGCGCTAGGCGAGTCAGTATAATGTGTCTGAGTCAGTATAATGTGTCTGAGTGGGGTACTCATGCTTCACTGCGGCATGGTATCTCAGTGGGCTAGCACTATAAAACCAGCTTAAGTCTGGGCTAGTACAAGCAGCCGTACATACACACGCATGCACATCGTCATATGAGCGAAATATTCTCAAGCACGACGTTAAACCTAATTTCACCTAAAGTCAATGATATTTATCAGTTCCTGCTCTTGTCAACCACAGTGTGAGACAACACGTAAGTCGATGATGATGGAAGTGTACAATGTAAACCCACAGTGTTTGGAGAACACAATATTTATGCAGTAGGAGGCTACAGTCCTATCACAGAGATGAGGCAGACCTATCACACCAGAGAACAAAACCGATCACACTCCTGCCCACAATCTACTGATCCCTTACTAAGTGCCAATGTGATATGTGCCAGTCAACTAATTACAGACATAACCTGCCTACTTATTGAAACAGATTTAACGAACAACATCACCCCTAACTCAACCACCAACTTCCTTCATTGAGACAGGTGTCAAACCAGGTGTCACTATACACCTAGAGGGTAATTCAAACTAATTAGGATGCTTGGCTTCACGCTCATGGCTTCTAAGATATTTGTTTGATGTTCTCAATACTGAATGATTTCTGTTGACAAAAAGCATGAAGAAACTATCTTGGCTACCATTCTTGTAAGGCGATCTTAGCACAAAGACAAATTTTACTCCCTTACTTTAACATATACTTATGATTATTGTAGTCCTAAGACTGGAACAAGGACCAGACAAGCTTAATACTGATAAGCAATATAACGCTATGATGATTAAGACTAAGATAAGGAATGAGAGTTGCAGTCACCTTAGCACTTTGTCTAGATGACCTTGGACATCTAGTGAGCTACAGGTCCCATTTCCATGAGCAATCTTAGTGCTATGATGATGAAGATATTGGATAGGAGTCATGATCTCCTTAGCGCTAAGATCTCTATGTGTAGCAGACCCTGGACATCTAGTGAGCTACAGGTCCCATTTCTATAAGCAATCTTAGTGCTATGATGATGAAGATATTGGATGGGAGTCATGATCTCCTTAGCGCTAAGATCTCTGTGTGTAGCAGACCCTGGACATCTAGTGAGCCCCAGGTCCCATTTCTATAAGCAATCTTAGTGCTATGAATGAAGATATTGGAAATGACTTAGCTAAGATCTCCTAGCAGACCCTGGACATCAGTGAGTCAGGTCCCATTTCTATTTGATGATGAAGATATTGGATGGGAGTCATGATCTCCCCTAAGAAAAGCTAGGATTCCCGACATCTAGTGAGACCCAGGTCCCATTTCTATAAGATAGTGCAATGAAGAGGCCAAGAGTCCATTTTAATAACCCCAAAAGTATGGGGAATAAATGATGGCCAAAGTTAAAGTATGGAAGTTTGATTGAGTGCGCTAAGATTGATTTCTGAAACGATGCTCTGGGTCACACTAGATCTCCAGCCACATTCCACAAAGAGACCTAAGCCTATGTTTTTATGACCATCATAGCGCCAAGACCACTTTGTGGAAAGGGTCCGAGGAAGTCAATGAATGGGACTACTTGCTAAGTCAGTGAACGAGGACACCAACCTTGATGTGTTCATGGAGCTGCTTCTCGTGTTCTTGTTCCAGCTGTTGTCGCTGCTGCTCATACTGCTGCAGGAGGAACTGGTGTTGTAGCTGCTGCTGCTGTTTGATGTTGGCGATCTCTCTCTGGAGGTGCTGGTCCTGGTACAGTTCCGGAGGGCCCCGGAACTGCCGTCGAGCTAACTCCGGCGAAGCCAGCGGGGACGTCTGAGTCAGATCTGTTGGAGGTTAACAAAGTTGCAATAAGATGGTGTCGGATTAACAGTCATACCTTCTAAAGTGAAATAATGTAAATATAGTATAACAATGATCCTGAGCCTATGGATAAGTGAAAGCAGTTGTATACACCTCTTATAGCAATATTCCAGCAATATTACGGTCAGGGATGCCATAAAAATGCTTAATACACTGTATTCACGTCGGGAAATGAACCCGGATCATCAGTGCAATGAGCAAACACTTTACCCACTAGGCCACCCTACTGCCTGTGTTGATCAGATTGATAATATTTGCAAAATCAGAACTTGGGCATGATGTGGGTCAAAGTTTCAGACACACCATGAACTCACTTGACATTAAAGTGAGCTAAGAATTTAACATTGCCATGCTAATGGGGCAAGTAAAGGTCAACTTAGAGGTCATAATTAACATTGCAAAATAACACCGGACATGCCTTCACATGCACACACACACAATATAACTTATCTACAAAGTGTACAGTAAGGTTAATGATCCAAATATGTAGAAATGTACTCGTTTGATTGTTTATTTGTGGTTAAACACTGCACTCAACAACATTCCAGCTATATGGCGGCGGTCTGTAAATACTAAAGTCTGGACAAGACAACCCAGTGATCAACAGCATGAGCATCGATCTATGCAACTGGGATATGATGACACGCATTAACCCAGTCAGCGAGCCTGACCACCCAATCCCGTTAGACGCCTCTTACAACACACATGGGTTACTGAAGATCAATTCTATCCTTGATCTACACGGGTTAGGAAGAATGTACAGGGTGTAATATCTTGGTTATTATCATAAGATGGTTCTGAGAGGCCAAGAAATCACAAGGGATGTGTGTGTGAGTAGGTGGGTGGGTGGGTGGCTTGAGTGAGTGAGTGATTAAGTGGGTGGGTGGGATTTTCAGTAACAGTTTGAACAGGTTTCCAGTGATATCAATGCATGGTATCTTCATATGGAAGGAAACCCTGAACGCCAAACGCTAGTCTCACACAATAACTACTTCAGTGGAAACATAATCAGGACAAAGTAGGATTCAAACGGACAACCACTTTGAAACTCTGCAGAGCAAATTGTGTCTAATCAAACTGATGACAAATCATCCATTATGGATAAAAGTTGCAATCATTTTTCTTAGAATCAGGAGCACCAGACAGTAACAAGAGCATTCAACACAGCCAGGATTCGAACCACCAACCTACCACTCACAAATCAGACACTTCTTCAACTAGACCATGGACAGCCTAACTCATCAAGAAGTCAGCAGGTACAGGTCGGGGTTCGAACCACCAACCTACCACTCACAAATCAGACACTTCTTCAACTAGACCATGGACAGCCTAACTCATGGAGCAGGTCGGGGTTCGAACCACCAACCTTCCACTCACAAATCAGACACTTCTTCAACTAGACCATGGACAGCCTAACTCATCTAGAGGTCAGCAGGTCGGGGTTCGAACCACCAACCTTCCACTCACAAACCAGACACTTCTTCAACTAGACCATGGACAGCCTAACTCATCTAGAGGACAGCTGGTCGGGGTTCGAACCACCAAAGAGACACTTCTTCAACTAGTCAGCAGAGGACAGCTGGTCGGGGTTCGAACCACCAACCTTCCACTCACAAACCAGACACCACCAACTAGACTGCGGAGACAGACTAACTCATCAAGAGGTCAGCAGTCTTCCATGTAGGTGTCCACGCTCCTCACATCAGCAGGCGTCAGCCATGATGACAAAAGGGAGCATGCATGATAGATGTGTTACTTCAGCCAACACAAAGGTGGTTAATTCTACACAATTTACATCCATCCATTTTTAATGCCACCTGTTGTGGAGACTTACTTCATGACGTCTTGCACTTAGTGACCCCCATCAATTATTTTGTTGCATGTCCCAACATATCGGCAATACTTGGCTAATTATCTGAATAAACTCTGCAATACTAATCCACATGAGACTACACGCACCCTGATCTTAACACTGAGGTAGGCCTACGTGTGGGTACTATTTACCTTACATAACATGTTCAGTATACCCTGTACACATTTAGGGCAACCGTTATGATTATGGCAGTCGGGTCCTTCAAATCCTTCAACCATCTCGGCTCTAACCCTCTCTGTCTCGACTATCCACAGATGATTATAGCAGTCAACCCTTTAACTCACTATAATGACAATTTCTGTTTAACCCTCTCTGTCTCGACTGTCCACAGATGATAATGGCTGTCAACCTTTAACTCACGATAACGACCATTTCTGTTTAACCCTCTCTGTCTCGACTATCCACAGATGATAATGGCTGTCAACCCCCTAACTCACTATAACGACCATTTATGTTTTAACCCTCTCTGTCTCGACTGTCCACAGATGATAATGGCTGTCAACCCTTTAACTCACTATAACGACCATTTATGTTTTAACCCTCTCTGTCTCGACTGTCCACAGATGATAATGGCTGTCAACCCTTTAACTCACTATAACGACCATTTATGTTTTAACCCTCTCTGTCTCGACTGTCCACAGATGATAATGGCTGTCAACCCTTTAACTCACACTCCATCAACCATCTCAACTTTTAACCCACTGTTTCAACCATCCACAGACAATTATGTCATCAAGCCCTGTAACTCCATTAACCATCTTTGCTTTAACCCTCTCTGTCCTAACTATCTGCAGACAATTATGCCATTCACTGCATCGACCATCTCAGCTTTAACCTTCTGTTACAACCATCTGCAAACAACTGTGACTAGCAAGCACTGGAACTTCATCAACCATCTTGGCTTTAACCCTCTCTGTTTCAACCATCAGTAGACATTTACAGCACCAAACCCTTTAGCATCTATGCTAATTACTCTAAGTCTCAATCAATGCCAAACAAGCAATAACTATGGCAACTGACCTTCTTAAGACTTACTTCCCCAAACAACCTTGCAATGATGCCACATACATCCTACCTTTAAGCATACATTACTTACCAAGTCCTCATTCCACAAGAAGGTCAGACCTCCTGACGATATTCTGAGCCAGTGGGTATTTACACACATGTTATCATTCAACTTGGGTATTAATAGTTCTCGTCAGGTATTCTGATATATTTTTACTGTCGTGTCGAATTTATTGGATATTTATAGACCAATAATAGCCAGCTTATAAATAATTTTGTTACAAATGCTTTTCACGAAACAATTTGTGCATTATTCATTGTAGCAGAAATAATGTATCAGCATAGCCTGCATTCAGCCCGCAAATAAATGTTGGTAAATATAGACACGACACAAACTGAATAGGCTACTTCCAGTCCATAGGAAGAGTGTGGTTACATTACTGTGTTTGGACATTCTTAACAAGTATTTGTACAAAAGCCCCTAAAAATCAATCATGTCCGTGTTATTTAAATTATATACTTAAAATAGGCTGACACTGAGTCCCAGAAATAAAGTTATCTAATTAAAAAATGAATAAAATATATTTGTCTACAAATACAAATGGAGATCAGAACAATCCTTAATTTCTGGAGTTGAAGCAACGACTGAGCTAATTATTCTAGACTTGAGTAGGACTCCTATTTAATTTAAACTCTAGGGTATGGTGACAGACTGTTTGTTAAACAGGAGCATACCTTAGCCAAATATTCTAGACTTGAGTAGGACTCCTATTTAATTTAAACTCTAGGGTATGGTGACAGACTGTTTGTTAAACAGGAGCATACCTTAGCCAAATATTCTAGACTTGAGTAGGACTCCTATTTAATTTAAACTCTAGGGAATGGTATGGGTGACAGACTATTTGTTAAACAGGAGCATACCTTAGCCAAATATTCTAGACTTGAGTAGGACTCCTATTTAATTTAAACTCTAGGGTATGGTGACAGACTGTTTGTTAAACAATATGCAGCTTCTCTGGACCGTGATCAACAACTGTACAGGCCCTACAGATTATTAAGGTTGGAGCATGAGAGTTCTGATTGTTGTAGCACTACAATCTCTTTGTGGAATGGACTCAAGTGCAGTTACAGGAGCTCTGTTAGGTCATGTTAAACACAACTTGAATGGAACCATCCTATACCGGGTTAGAATTGGTCTACCCATGTGTACCATAAGAGCTGACTGACAGGATTGGGTGGTCAGGCTCGATGACTTGGTTGATGCACATCGAATTGCTTAGATCAATGCTCATGATGTAAATCACTGGTTTGTCTGGTCCAGACTCAATACTTTACAAACTGACCACAAATAGCTAGAATATTGCTGAAGGCTGTATTGAACAACAAACAACCGTTCAAACTGTATCACTGTTTGCATATATACATAACAAACCAGCACTAAAAACTTTTCTTTTTCATAACCACAAACTTTTTTAACAACATTTGTTTGCAAAATGCCTGGCACTCCAATGCATATTCTGCTCTTTCACACAAAACCTGTCATAATTTGTAAATTCAGGGAACAAAACCTTCCTTCCAAAAAGGTTCCCGACAATCAATACTGAAGATCAAATCCCCCTTCAGCCACCATCACCTTTCTAGTCCACAGGTGCTTATGACAAAGAAAATCCACATGCTTTGAACGAACCTACTGTAAACTCATTACATCGAAAAAGTTTCCCACAAATATCTTTTTAGTGTGAAATTTCTCACTTCAGGATGCAAGTCTCTCGCACATTAATTATTGAAAATGAAAAGTTGTGAGTATATCGCGTCATTTCTGAAAGCGTGGTAATTTCCATAACAAGGAGTGCGTCATGAATGTTTGATACAGGCAGTGATGTTGTGTACTGCAAGTCTAACGCCTGAAAAGGGCAGAGTTAAATCCTGTGGCAACATGCTGGTCTACCGCAAGAGAAGAATTATCAAATTTTACTAACAGGGCTCGTATTGGACAAACTGTATATTTGCAAGAGAAAAATATCCTTGAAAACTACACTTACTGAGAATACACCTAAACTAACAATATTTGAGTGAGTGAGTGAG